TCATCATCGCAAATGCCGCAATTTTAATAACGCAAATTTCATCTAATATCATAATAAACTGACTGAATTTGTATCATTGTTTTTTATTTAAATTGAGTTATAAAGTGTACGAAAATACTTTACGTACTTTCAGGGATTGCCATCTATTTTAGTTTCTGTTTATATTTTTAGAGTGTGATGTAGCGGTTCGATTACAAGCGGAATGGGGACTATGCGTAATTTCAAAAATAGTACTATAATGTATACAAATTCATGAATAATGTATTATTATTCTCAGGGCCGTTCTTTGCAACTTCTTAATAATTTATTCGGTTAATAATCTCTAGAAGTCTAGAAGGTAATTGCGTAAGGTTAAAGATGATATTAATCTTTTTTTTTGTTGGATGTGTATTTATAGTGATGTACAGATAATTTAGGAGGTTTTATTTTGCATATTTAAAAATGAACTGAAATCGAACCACTTCGATTGCGATAAAGAATGCTGCCTGGTCGTAAGATGGTCATAAATAGTGTAAGTGTGAGCTATTAAATTGATTAGGTTAGAATTATAGGAAGCTTTATTGATTGATTTTATGATTCTTTCAAAATAATGAATCATACTTTGAGGATTGAGTGGATACTCGATCAACAGATTCAAACTCAAATTCCTACCATTAATAAAATTTAGTGATGATGAAGAACAAATTGGTGAATGGGAATTCAATGAAACTATTTGTATGAAAAGCAGTATAATTTTACTCTGTTGTTAGGTTCTGTAAGCATCAACAATTAATTGACCAATTTTTAGATTTTTGGTCCTTTAGGGAGTTTTCCTAACCAATTTGTAAATGTAAACAAAAATCAACATAAAATGTTGATTACTTAGTACTGGAGGAATTCATGAATTTGCCACTGAAAAAATTTTGATTTGAGATTAATTAAGCCAACAGATTAATAGCTTTTTGACCTAGTTAGACGATACACATGTAGATGTTATTTATCAACCAAGATCTTTTCTCTCATCATTTTCAAGTAAACAAATACTTTGCATACGCACTTATGCAATGTAGAGAGATAAGTGAGCATTTTCTTCAAGCATATGGCGTCGACAGAATTAATACCCGGTTTCTATAACAATCATTATGAATTTTAGAGCTATTTATAACTAGGTATGAAGATGTGTAAGCTATTTACTTAAAATGAAATCTCAAGGTACCTCTATAGGAATGTGTTTGTGTTGCTATCCTGTATTGTTTAGGAAAAGGTGTTCATCCTTCGTACTGGAAGAATGCTTGGTAATTCCGTTACCAAATTTTTCTATTTATACTAATATTAGACTGACAGTTTCTAAAGTGGTAATTGTGTAAGTTTTTCTTACACAATTAGATTGGAGAAAAATTAATTAATAAACCTCTCCATACGTAAGCATCATCGCTTTCTTTTCTTTACCCAAACACGTGGGTCGTAGTCCAAATTGACTAAGTTCAGTATTCTTTTTCTTCAATTTTTGTCCAAGCCTGCATGTTTTTTAGCCACTCTGCCTGGCCACCTCTTCTTCTTTCAACACATTCGCTGCCACTTTGAATGATGTTATAAACCTAGTAGAGTGATAAATTAATAACTTTTTTGCAATATATATAACTCCTCTCTGTATCTTGATGATTGACACCAGATATGTTTTTGTTGTACTACAGAACTGCTTCTGATTCTGAATCTCCAAATTCCGTAGATTTCCTCCTTCCATTTTCCTCTTTGGATAATGTACTTTATAGTACATTATTCTTACGAAGATTAGTCCTTATGTTCCAATACAGCAAGTTTCGTACAAATTTGCAANTCTCCAAATTCCGTAGATTTCCTCCTTCCATTTTCCTCTTTGGATAATGTACTTTATAGTACCTTTTTCTGTTTGCTTTGAATTCCCACGAAGATTAGTCCTCAATGGTCCAATACAGCAAATTTCGTACAAATTTAAGTGGAATACAAATACAATCTGAAATTTAATTACATATACTGAATAAAATTCGGTGTTCTTGAAACAATTATGCCTAGTAACACAGATTTTTTCATGGCTAAATACCAAAGCCTTTAAAAGGTTTCTAAACAATAACTATGAATTTTAGAGCTATTTATAACTAGGTATGAAGATGTTGTGCAAGCTATTTACTTAAAATGAAAGCTCCGGGTACTTCTATAGGTATGTGTTTGTATTGCTATCGTATATAATTACAAATACTGAACAAAATACGGTGTTCCTCCGTTAACCATTTTATTTCTTCGTTTCTTGCAAGTTCTTGGAATTCTCTTTGATTGGTCTAGCTGGTTGCTCTGCTCCCATCATGCCTAGTAACATAGATTTCTTCATGGCTAAATACCAGAGCCTTTAAAAATATCAATGGTGTAGTGAATTTTGAATGGGCTCCCTGCAAGTTAATTTAGCTGAGTAGGAAATAGTATATTGTTTTATATGGAAGAGAAGCAGTGCTTTTTATGGCGTGGTCTGTCGCTTAGCGACGAACGCAGTGAGTCGCTAATGACAGATGAGCCGTTAAAATTGTGGCGTGTCCGACAGTTTGCCGGACGAACGAAGTGAGTCCGGCAATGANTTGTTGTACTACAGAACTGCTTCTGATTCTGAATCTCCAAATTCCGTAGATTTCCTCCTTCCATTTTCCTCTTTGGATAATGTACTTTATAGTACATTATTCTTACGAAGATTAGTCCTTATGTTCCAATACAGCAAGTTTCGTACAAATTTGCAAATTTGAGTGCAATACAAATACAATCTGAAATGTAGTTACAAATACTGAAACAAAATACGGTGTTCCTCCGTTAACCATTTTAATTCTTCATTTGTTGCAAGCACTTCACCGCAACTTCCTTGGACTTTACATCTCTTTATCTTAGAATATTTTAAAGCTGCCTTTTCATCTGAAGATTGCTTAGATGGTAATGTATTAAACATTTCTTTCCTATTTCTGCACATGCAAAGGAACAATTTCACCTACATTCCCATTTAATCGGCATTATAAGACGCAATTGCAATTCTCTTCGATTTGTCTAGCTGGTTTTTCTGAAACAACCATACCTTTTAACACAGACTTCTTCATGGCTAAATACCAGAGCCTATAAAACCATCAATGGTGTAGTGAATTTTGAATGGGCTTCCTGCAAGTTAATTTAGCTGAGTAGGAAAAATAGTTTTCTCTATATTTCTAAGACTTTCCATGCTCTTTTCATAAGAGCAAATATACGACAACATCCAAAAACCTGCAGTACATGAGCTGTATTTTGTGGAAACACAGAAGATTTATTTCACTTTCTCTTGGCATCGTTGTAACAATATAGGAAACTTGCAAAGTTGAATGTGGAAGTTATGACTCATTAAAAATTGGGGGACTTCGGTTTTCAAAGTCATTAACCTGAATTTGAATTAATAACAACACCTTGATAAGTTGAATCTTAGGTTTTCTTGGATTTAGTACAAGATCCGACTGACAGATTCTAAAAAATTAAAATAACATTGCATCATTCTCGTAACGTTTGCAGCATATGTAATGTGTGCTGGGCTCTCCTTCATTTCTGCGATGCGACTTTTTTAGACACGGCTTCGGAACGTCGTACGCAGAAAGTACAGAATGCTTTCCACAGACTTGTCTATCGTTTAAAAGGTATGGTTATGTGTCACATAAATTGTAAAATATATGCTGCGTGGCTGAATACGCCTTGTAGAAATTCGTTACTTCCTTCTTATCAACATTCTTCCATAAAGTTTTATATTGAGATAATAAAATATCTTTTAACATAGACGTTTTTAACAAAAATTCAATTTGCTCCTAATTTAATCAAAAATAGTGACGTGAGAAAGAAAAAGTATGTTACAACTTTTTTTTATTAAAAACATAAAAATAAAAAAAGATATAGTTTTATTTACTGTGTTATTGTTTATATTTACTGTATTAACCGATAACCATTGTTACAACGAATCCCATCCATTTTTTTTTTAATTATCTGCTTTAAATTGTTGTTTGGAATTTGGAATTGTAACAGTTATTTATTGATCGGTCTTTGAAATGTTAAATAAATTTGTGAATTTATTTTACTTTGAGAGACATACAATTAATTCGATTTTATTGTCCTGTTGTATATTGGTGCAGATACAAATCGTGTCGTTTCGGATTTGTGTTTGTACGGGCCGAGTCGTAATAAATGTAAAAACTGTCCAATGTGGCGCGAATAATGGCACAAAAAGCTGTCGAAAATTGTTAATGACTAAGTTTATAGGTTTATTAAAAATAGCAACAATATGAGACTGATTATATACATCATTGGTATTGGATTGTTTACACCAAGTTAGCATTTCTTATTTTCTATTCCGCCTCTTGCACATACGCACCGAAGCAAAATTATGCGCCTTTGTTCTTCATTCCCTAACGTGCCGTAAGAGATGCAAAGTGAAAGTCTCTACGGGAAGTCTTCTCTACGTTCGCGGTGAATTCTTGTTTGGGGAAATAGACGATGAGACAGAGAAAGATATAGATGAGTCAACGAACTGTTGCGTTCGTCGCTTTTAACGTTCTTACGCTAAGTGTTCGTTTTTTACTAAGTGTAGCGTTTACACAAAGCATTTCTCTCTAATGATTAGGACAAACGGGCATCTATTTAACAAGCTAAGTTAACGTGATGAACGAACATTCTACTAAATTAAGATTTACTTCATTTGGATTTCTTTTAACTAAAGGATATCTTAAATTTTTTTGATGAGATTAATAAATTTGAAATTAAAAAAGAATGTGCAGTGAGAGCTTTTAAAACGCTTTTCCGGCTATGAGCGCCATCTATTGCGCGGCCAGTAAAACTAATTTCTCGTTTAATAAACGTTAACTACATACTTCGTTTTAAAAGCTTATCATCATGATTTAATGCTACTTTAAGAAGATAATTTTTAACGTTAAATCATTTTGGAAATTACGTTAAGTGCGATTTAATTAATTTAGTGTTTGATATATATTTTTTTGTAGAGCGGTGGAGTTGCAATGGACAAAGAAAATGGAAAGAGCAGCGAAGGTGGTACAGGCTCCAGCAAGCTCTCCAATCCTACAGATCCAACGGCCTTGCTTGACGCAGCTAGTCTCTTCGGTAAGTTAAGATGTTTCATAATTCGTAAAAACCATAAAGTTAACAATAAAGGTAAACAATTTATATGATTTTCTAAATCTAAACTTGTAGTGGTCATTACTCTATATACTAGGAGTGCAGTCAAACGTCCAATATTAGATATTTTAACCTATATCTCAAAATAGGAGGTGAGAATAAAATTATAGGCCGCAATCTACAAACTTTAATAATCAGGAAACTTCTGACGAAGAAGTTTATGGTTTAATCACCACTTCTATTTCGTTGCAAAGTAGATGAACTTTTTTCTTTAAGAATCAAAAACCTTTTAATTAATTGAAGATGAATCCAATGTACTAGTTAATTATCTCGAAAATTGTTTTTAAGAAAGCACTTACTATAAGATAATTGTAGCTGTGGTTACTTTTTTTAAAGCTAATAGATTGCGTTAACTCTATAAGTGGTAGCAGTGAATGTTAATGGGAGAATGTGAAAATACTAGTTAAGAAGTTTTTGTTCCTTTGGAAAAACTTTGGCATCTACTTTTCTAGGCTTAAACTTCTATAGAAAAAAAGGCAAAATAAGCTAATGAAAATTCGATTTTAGTCCTTTAACCTCTTTTATGGCTTAATCAAATTAGAAGGCAGGAAAAGCCCTAAAGAAGTTGACTGGCTTTAGTAGCCCCCATTTCAATTTCTTTTGCTGTCTTGTTTGTATAAATATTAAAAAATAGAAGACAAGTTTTACTTTTATAAACTATACTAGGCGTGACAAAATTAATGTCGTATTGTGAATGTGTCATAATTTTTAGAAATGATGTCAAATAGCATTGTACTTTGACATTTATGTTGCCCACAAATAGAGAATTTGTTGACAAGAAGTTATAAACACCTGAATTATTGTTACTGCTTATTTCACCAATTTCCGGTTTGTTGCTTTAACGTAGCGTGAATTTTGTAGTCGTTTTCTTTTGCCATGTGCGCGGGTAGTTAAGCGTTTTTGAGCGTCTCATCTAAACTGGGCCCACTACAGATCTCGCAAGATGTGGCCGGTCCCGTAATGCTCGTTTGGACGAGAATATTGCTGCTGTGACCGAGGTCGTCCGAGAGAGTCCACAAACTTAGCAATCAGTAGACGTTCGTTGCGTCCAATTTTGGTGAAAGACTTTAAGATGTTTTCGTATAAAGTTCAAACCGTTCACCAATTGCTGTCTGCTAACTGTCAAGTGAGGTTAACTTACTCCCATGCTCTGTTAAATCTGGTGCAAGATGACGATAATTTCGTATTTAAAATCATATTGAGCAATGAAGCCCATTTTCATTTAAGCGGTTGTGTGATGTTTTGAATAAGGTTCTACTTTTATCTAATAAACAACCTCCCAATTATGGTTTTATGGTTCCGAATTGCATGATTGATAATAACTTGGTTTTGAAGAGGTTTCAAGTCTTAATTCCTACATGGATGTGAAACATTTTCTTCCTTCAACAGTACACATGATTAACAGTATTACATAAGATGATGTTAAGAATTACATAATTTCCCTTTGCCACCATTGTAATCAGAAACATAATTATGTGTAATAGATGCCTGTAGCTGTAAACAATCTTGACATTTAGTAATCATATATCACTGGATTTATGTTTTACAAAGACAATGATAGCTAGAAAGATCCCCCATACATCATTCTGACGTTTTCTTAGCATAAGACCTTATGATCTGGTTCTTTTCAAACTTGTGATAAAAAGAAGATTAAAAAAGAATCATCCATTTCGATTTTAACATTCATACATATAAACTGCAGATAATACAATAACTGAAGTAGAACGATCATCAGTTGCATTTAGAATTTTGTCAGCAAATTATGACAAACATCCATATGAACGAGTACCAAGGTAATAAAACTGAAGGAAAACTTTTCGGTATTCGTGTCGTTTCAAAACTCGTTAACTTTCTTTGACCTCAAGATAGTGAGATTGAAACATAGAATCCAAGAAGAAATTCGTGGCATCCTACCTGACATGTTGCAGCATTAAACAGGAGCATGACGTAATTTTCTGACATTGACAATTTGGATTAGTACATATCTTTGGGAGAGATTCTAAATAACTTTTGCAGTTTTAATTGCATCTACGTAAAGTTTCATACATTTATGTTTTTGACATAAAATATTCGAATTTTATGCTAATTTTGTGCATTGATCAATTAAAATGAGCTTTTCTGATATTGGAATCTTCCTGGTTTTAGTAATACAAGATTTTAATTACTTTATATGCTTGGCTATTTCGGCTTCTATTGAGTTGATCCTGATTTGTTTCACCAAAACTTTAACTTTAAATTAGACTTGATAGAAAGTTCCTCGAAGTGCTTTTTTTTTATTTTATATGGATTCAATTGCAAAATCTACATCAGTTTAGCTTCGGTTTACGTTTTAACAAAAGTAACGGTTTTTTGTTACTTTTTTTTTTTTATTAATTATGTTGTACTATAAAAGATGAATGATTTGAAACTATGAATGCGCTTCATAATCGAATTTAAGCATCTAAAACTATAATAAACATTTTACGTAATATTAAAGTTATTTGCGCCTTGAAATTCTTAACAAATTAACTTGGTTTTTCCCATAGAACATTGGTAACCAAAAGTCCTTCACTTTATTTTTATCCATTTTGGATTTTCGTATTTGCAGCATAAACATTTAGCATTGTGTTTGAAAGTACCTCTCATTTTTTAGCTATCGCTTTTAAGATTTGCTAATCTGCATCCACAATACATTATTAGTGGGTTAATAACAGAAACAATATCGAATAATTCACCATTTGCAACAACTGACTTAAGAAGTTTCAAATTCTTAACATTTGATGTTCCTGAAAACGTTGGCCTCTTATATTATCTTTTGGATTATATGTTGACCAAAAGGTTGCACCTCTCTATCAAGCAACCATACCGTTTAACATTTATGGAATTTAAGCAACATTAGTTCTAAAAGTATTTTATCACCTGTTTTGACTAGAAGCATTCCAAATCTCTTACGGCCAACCGCACTATTTGTATTTGAAGTCACGAATGTGTGCAGTAATAAATCATTGTGGCAGGTAGGTAAACATCTCGTAGCATGAAACTCTTGCATGGGATTGGTCTAAATAGGTAAACATGCCCGAATGGGTGCGACCTTCGTTCGGGTTAGAAATGTAAATAAAAGGCGCGAACGCATTGGGAAAGACATTCATAACTTTTGTTCCTTTGTCGAACGCAGTTCATATTTTGAGATTATTATTTGTCTTTATAAAGACAGCTGCAATGTATTTATTATGGCTACTCCTATAAAGAAACGTTCCAAATTAAGTGTATTGGATAAGGAAAGAATTATGAGGATTTTTAAAGCTCATAAAAAAGAACATCCATTTGCCTCAACTGTGAATAGTGTGCAATTCACTATGAACGTAGCAGGTAATGTATATTTTAATTACTTTATGCACCAAGGGTTTTACTTGGAAGCCGAAAATCTAAGCGCTTCCGAGTAAATCGCCTGAGGCGCCAAGTTTATTTCATCATATACGGCTACAAATTATTCATATTGGGATAAATTATTATAATACTTTTAATGCTTTTACAGAAGTCAGTGAACGAACTGTATACAAGATTTTAAAGGAATTTAAGGACAATGAAGTATTTTCTCCACCGAAAAAGTACCATCGAAGGAGAAGTATTTTAGATTTCATTATTTATTTCTTTTTAATATATGAATTTTACACTAAAATGTTTTTTTATTTTAATGTATTTCTAACCCTTTCTTAACTTTGTGACGCTGATTCACGGCTGAATATTGAAAATGATTGTAATCATGTAAATTTTGTAGAAAATAGGGATTTAAAAAAAACTGATAAAAGCTGTATTAATATTTTAAAATGTATTGCAAAATAGAATATTATTCATGAATGTTTCAAATAAATATTTCTTCGATTAAGTATGATTTTCTTACATTACTAACGTCGTTGTTGTGAGTTATTTGAATATTTAGAAAATATTTTCAAAAATCTTCAATCCATGTTAATTTGTTTATAATCTGAGGTTTGTTATTGAGTTAGGCAGGGTGTGGGCGGTTTCACACTCAAGGGTCAGACCATAATTAACATCTAACCTATAATCAAGTGGAATAGTTAATTGCAATCAAAAAGAATTTGTTTTTTTGAAAATTATTTACCCAGCTCAATTATTAATTCTTGTTTCTTTTCAGCTTATTGGCCACGAGGTGACGCAAATTCAGCAAACGCAGCTAGTTTGTTCGCAGCAAGTACCGCTGCTGCAGCCGGCGGCAGTGCCCCATACGGCCTTCCACATCCTGCGATGCCCTTCGGGATGTTACCACCGACGCCAGGTCGTGGAGTGCCCGCTTTTCCGCCGCCTACATCATCGAGCCCGGCGACGGCGGCCGCCGCTGCCGCCGCTTACAACAATGCCTACACGAACACGCTCTCGGTGGCGGCAAGTCAAGCAGCCAGTCTCGGTATACCAGCAGCAAGTAAGTATAAATTTCAATAAAATTTTTGTTTATGCAAATTTTAAGTTCGTGACGTTGACAGGTTACTAGTACCAACAAGGACGTATGTGTGAATCTGATTCCAAACGGGAGATATAATAAATATTCACCAGTTTCACCTTTCAGAATCTCATGAAAACAGTAACTGAAATCGGTGTTGTTCAAAAAGGAAACTTCGACGCGTTTCGTTTTTAAGACAAACGATTTTTTTTAATACTTAACAATACTAGAATGCTAGTATAATAACAAACTAAAAGTACCTACTTCACCACTTAATAATGCTCTAAACAAAAAGTCTCCGGTTAAAAAGAAATAATTGATAGACGCTTATAAATTTGAAGAAAATTGCTTCTGCATAAATGGTAGTTTGTGCACAATAAAATTACACGGCGATTATATCTGTTAATTTTTGCCAATTATTTTCCTGTTCGCCGTGTTGCTAGGGAGGAAATGGTTAATTCATTATACATATAAGTTGGGGAATTAGATGTTATTGAGGTTCCAAGGAAGGGTCCAGGTGCTGATGGTATACCACCCATACTGATTATTTTACAATAATTAGATTACGAAAGGCGACTTTACGAATGCGTGGAAGCGGAATAATCAAAATCTAATAATAAAACCCTAATTTAAAATCGGACAACTTCGTATCTCGTTATCAATCAGTATTATTAGAAATCCAACTACCAATTTTCGAGTTATGTCGTGCGTTTATAAAACGTTGTTTACAAAGTCTAGGCACATAACATAGACATACATCCTACACAACAACTATAAAGGAGAATATTGAAGTAAGTATGCAAAGAATAAACTAATAAATGGACATCGGCAAAGACAAATTTTCTGATCAACAAAACAATGCAACGTATGAAAGAAAGAGCAGAAGATGCATGTTATAAAAGGCACGGATCGGGGATAGGATTGGAGATAAACACAATACAATACAAATACATTGGTATTAACACAAATAAGGACACTCAAGTCCACGCAAACACAAAACGTTGTCATGGAGGATGCCATTGGAAAGGCTAAACCGTTCTCATGTTTGTGGGTCGTTATGCAAGGATGGAACAGAAGATATAAAAATAAATAAAACAATAATACAAGCGAATGGACCATATTTCACATTAGCCCAATCGTTAGACATATTGTCACCTGATGTCCAAAACACAATCTTACTATGTATGTGCAATTGTATTGTACCAATGATAACAGAGCATACAACCACGTGGTATAGGACTTAATACCACTAATCTTAACATGAATTTAGTCACAACCACAGAATAACCAGAAGTGACACTGACGATATCCCACCAAATCTGACACTATATTATAGCGAGTTGCCAAGGTATGCTGCTATTGGTGGTAAAAATTTGGCGGAATACCGCCAGGGTCACTTCTGGTTATCCTGTGCCTTTGGTAACTCGCGATAAGATGGCGGATTTTAAATCGAGGTCACAAAACGAGGGTTTAGTGTCATTTCTGGTTATTCTGTGATCACAACCACGAAAGAAACACGATCTGCTAACGTTTAAATCCAAATTACTGCTTTGTAGACGTAAAGGACTTGGTTGAAAATAATTCTCAGGTGACGATATGGTAGCGAAACATGTGTCCTGTCGGAGAGATCAAGGTTGATTTCTTCGAGAGAACAGTGTAGAATCTTGGGAGTGATCAAACCGTGTGGAGGATGAGGTACAACAGCATGATATATCAGCTTTTCAAAGATGACAAAGGATGAGATGAGCCGGGCATGAGGTGAAAATGGAGGAAGGAAGACTTCCAAAAAGAATAGTGATTATACGACTACAAGAAAAGAGATCTGTGGGAAAGCTAAAAAAATGCTATTCTGGGCCTTCGGGTTGAAGAGTGTAGCCTCGAACAATCTCGACTTGGACTGTAGAACCATAAAAGATGTATTCTCCCTTATTGTTTACATCACCATTTTGCACGGATAAAGATCTTGTTTCGCGCGTGGTTCGATTGTTTATCGGAGCAACCCATTTCTTACGCAGCTTTATATTAATGTCCAGGAAATTTTTTTCATCACTGATAACAATTCGATAAAAAATTCGTTGCTTGTGTCCATGAGTTAAGCGGTGATAAGTAAGCAAGCTAACGGAGATTATGGCTTTATGATTTTTTTAGTATTTTTCTCATCGAGTGAAGATGTTTCTCTATATGTATGGATTTGGGAGTGCGTGCAAAACGTACATCACACTTAGGCCCCATTCGGCCCCTTGCATCCTTCCATTACACATTCTAGTCACATCAACCAGCCTAAGGATTTACCAAAGGCTAGGACAGTTCCAGAGGTGCATTCCTGATATTATCTGTGGTTGGCAATTTCTCCCCGAGAGAGTGTGGAATTTTCTTTGCCAGTCCTCTGGTCGAATTTTCGTGGAAAAGTTAGTTTAATCACTCTTCATTGAACTCAACTGGGCGACCAAAACGAGGAGCGTCTTTGAAGTCAAAATTTCCATTTTTGAACTTGATATGTAAGTACACGAGAGGTTGTTCCATATATGGAACCCTCTCCATAGGACAAATTTTATTTCGGGCCACATGCGCTCTTAATGACATCATCCCTGTGGACGAAATCGCAGGTTTATGGTATTTATGACCATTTTATGAACTAAAAATACCGTAACTTTTTAAATATGTCTGGAAGGCTTCTTTTGCGTAAATAGTAAATACCTCAACATTTTTCAATGACCTCTTTCTTTATATCCGTGATATTGCAATATAATTTAAGATTTTAAAACAATCTTCTAGACGTGTTTTCGTCATTTCTTGTCTCTCTTTCTCACTTCTTTTTTTACGGACATCAAGAAGCAAGCTCATTTCAACTCAAAACCTATCGTAAGCGTCTTATTTTTGTCAAGGATTATTGTATTAAAAATGGAAGAATCAGTTCATTTCTTTGAGTATTGCACCACATCCCTTACTGTTTTATAATCTTTCTATCTACCATTGTCAATCGGAGTTCTCGTTTTACTCAAATTTCCTATCCGGCACTCATAAACCTAATTTGACATAACTCAATTATTTGCTTCAAAATATTATACATTCTGAGATATAACTTCCTGATGAATTAACTTGATCAAGCTATTGTAAGAGAAGTACATTTACGCGTATTGTTCCAAAAAAGTCATTCATATAATCACGATGAGGCCATAAAAATGTATAACACATGTATTGAGCGCATCCTAAATTTTATAAGCATTATTTCGAACTCTGTTTATATTGAGCTTATTAAAAATTTATGTTGTAAATCCCAACAAGACTGTATCTGGCTGCGAAATGTTTGGAATGCTCACATTTCCATGTTTCTCCTCGCTAGCTCCGGTATAACTTTTTATTTTCAACACCACGGAGAAATAAGTATCGCAACTCGCGTATCTTGTGAGTACAAACCGCAGATCGGATTAAGTGTGCCCCGTTCGTAAATAACCTACATAGGTTTAGGCGTAATTTACGTGAAAAAATTAAATCCGAAGGGATGCCATCGTAGTTTGTTACACATTTTCACTATTACTAGGATGCATGATGAAAAAAGTATACAACGATAAGATACAAAATATAGGATGAGAAGGCAAAGCTCTATTAAAGCTCTAATCAAGTATAAATTTTAGTGTTGGTTATTCACATAAATGTCTATATTACCATAACTTGGGTGTGAGGTGTTTTATTAAAGTTATATGGAGACAATGGATCACCAACGGGGGGGGCATAAAGCTGACATATCTTTCATTGTTAGTGAATTTAACTAATTACGTACTTGCAAAATTAGTTAATATCTGTAAGATGTAAACTTCATCGCTGAAAGTCATAAATCACATAGACATTTTAAAATAAAGTTATTGTGTAAGATGTTATTTTGAAAGAACTTAGTTTCCCTCCAAAACATAAAAGTGGTATCGTCCGTCGCACGGCGTCGTCGTGGTCGTCGTTGTCATAGGATCATGTTCGTTCAGCTCAGGTGGGTGGACGCCGCGATGGACGTTGAAAAACGATAGAGCGAGATCCCGTATTCTGAGCGTCCCGACGCGCGACGCCCGTGTCCCACCATCCCGCCCGCACACGTAAACGTGCACGCTAAATGTAATTCATTTATTGATCTACTTCTCTCCCCCCAGTTTTAGCAACAACCACCGCACAAAGACTCTCTCTCAGCTGAAGCGCGGTCCTGAAATCGTTTCGGAATTGTGTAATTTGCGCCTAATTACCGAGGCCCCCGATACATAGTGCGCGAGATAATTTACTAGTGATCCCCGGGAACGGTGCGGCACCTGTTGTCAACCGTCACGATGGTAATGTTTTCCTTTCCGGATCCGGATCATCCGGACACACATACCTAACCTCACTTCGAGGCGCCGCGCATTTTTATGAATGAATCCAGGTCACGGGACAAACAACTAGAACTTTATACCTTTAAAAAAAAATTTAAATTATTTTATCTTTATGAAGTTTCTTTATGAATCTATTTTTGTTTTAGGTGCTGCTTGGTGGTCAATGGCATCCCATTTGGCCGCTCAAGACTACCTCGCTCGTCTTCAAGCTTCTGGTCTAAGCTTTCCCGGTTTAGGTAATCTATCAGATCCATACGCAGCTCTCGGTCTGCCTTCCCTGGGTTCCCATCACAAATCGTCGAAGAACTCGAAAAGTTCTTCATCGTCGTCACTGCCAAAACTCCAGCAGGGAGGATCCTCAGTTTCCTCGAAGGAGAAGTTGTCGAATTCGGTTTCGAATAAACCGGATGTGAACCGAAAGTCCAGTTCCCCCATGCCGAACAGCAAGGGTTCTTTGTCCTCAACGACCTCCTCCCAGAAATACTCTTCCTCCATGAAGTTGCCAGCTAGCCTTGTTGCAAGTACCGTGAGCGCAACATCCACGACGAGCTCTGCTTCAAACGGGGAAAAGAAAACTAAGATAGATGGGTATGGGAAAAGTCCTTTGGAAAAACCGAAGAACTCCCCATCACCGTCTTCTAGCATTTTTACAAATCCACTTAGTATGGCCAGTAATGATAAAGTTATGGCGAATGCTCCTACTCCACCTCCGAGTACTAGTAGTAGTGCTCTTCCAAGTATACCAGCAAGTATTCTTAGGTAAAATTTTTTTTTTTAAGCCTCTTTTCGTTTTACCTTATATTATATGTATGTAAATTTTTGCAAGCAGCGCGGCTCTTGAGGGAAACGGGTAAGTTAATTAACACTGGATTTTTACACTTATTTATTTATGTTTAAAATTTTCAACATAAATCTTCTAAACCACTTCATTTTAAGTTCTATACACCTAATTTCTGATTATTTTTATTATCCTTGCCGTTGTTGTTATCTTTAACGTATTTGCGCTCTTAAACCTTTATTACTTTGTTAGTAATAAAAACAAGACATCAAGTTTAACGAGTGTAATTACAGTTCTTTAAGAACTATAATTAAGATGTTTAAGGATTTTTTGTAATAATCATGAAATATGAAATAATCGTGATCTTTTTTTCCAGTGATCCAAACTCTATCCTTGGAGGAGTGCGTCTACCTCCTGACACTGAAATAATAAAATACACATCGTCCATAGTGGGCCCAAAAATACCAGGAACAACAAACAGAGGCAGAAAGAAGACTATCTCTTTGGATCCACCGTCGGTGAGTCTCCATCCAAGCCTATCAAGCACAGGAATGCTAATAGAAAGAACAAATAAGAGACCAAAGATGGTACGTTGCATTTCCTGAAATTGCGATTTTGCTTAATCTTTATTACGTTAGTTTTTATCTTGCCATCAACAATCATATCAAAGTGTTCATATTAAAAAGAAACACGAGCTTATCTTATCTTAACATTAAAAATTTCTCTCAGATATCTCCCCACATGTGACAAAACGTGTTTTCTTGTTGATTTTCGATTTGTTAAATTGTTTTTATATCAATGTAACTATGCAGGATCATTCTGAGATGGTCTCGCCTAGTTCACCCAACGACAGAGTGGAGGTGATAAAATTACCGACGGCCAATGGTAGTCCTTCAGGAATTACGACTTCAACCCCGTTTAGCAGTGCAACTACCAATAACACCAGTGTTGAGTCAACCCCCGAAGGACCTTTAAATTTATCATTGAAGCCATCTACTTCGACACCATCGAATCACACTAGTTCATCGCTAAATTCTTTAAGTAATATGTCGGCTAATATAGGAATAGATAGAATATGTAAGTTGGTCTTTTTTGTTTTGAGAAGAAATAAATTATTATTTTTATGTATAGCTCGAAGAAAACCTGGTCCAAAACCTAGAAAAGTAATTCAATCACCGTCTGTACCTTCGAGCTCGTCCGCTTCATGTCTAAGTCAACTTTTCTCGGCAGTTGAGGCTTCAAGACCTCCTAGTCGAAACGATTTTTTGGATAGTTGTTCTTCGTCGAATACATCGCCGAATCTTTCCAATAGAGGAACGGAACTTCCAATGCCTTCGAATCACAAAGATGGAAGGCCAAGGAATTTGGGTCGAGGCGTTAGTAAACCCAAGAAAAATACAGTGGCGTCTCTACTAGCCCAAAGTAGAGCATTGGGTAACTATTAATTGCGACAGATTGTAATCTTTCGTTGCATAAAGACTTTTTAGGTATAAAACCTATGCCAATACTGGACCCAAATGCTCCCATGACACAACAAATGTCACTGTTGAAATCGAATATTTTAGCCGCACAGTACATAGCGGAATCGGGTGGTGACGAAAAAACATTAAATAAATTTTTGCAGGAAAAATTCAGGGGTACATTAAGTGACTCGAGCACAGTTGATGCTTCAACAGATTCTGATAACCTTACAGATTCTAATCAGACTGATTCGGAGATGGAAATCGAAACTATCGCTAAAAAGCAGAAACATTATGATGAAAGAGCCTTAAGGCTACCGCTTGAACGAGGTAATTCACTCCTCCAAATTTTTATTTATAATTTTTTGATTTCTTTATTTTTTAAGGATGGAAAAGAGAGACGGTGATAAGAGGCGTCTCAAAAAGCGGTTGCGTTAAAGGCGACGTCACATATATTGCCCCTGATTCAAATAATAAATTTAAACAAATGTCTGATGTATCACAGGTAAACATTTTTATAATAATAATCATCAACAAACTTTATCATTGAATATTTATTAGTACTTGGATTATCAGAAGAGCTTAGACCTAAGCAAAGAAAATTTTACCTTTAGTAGTCGTGTGATAATTGGTGACTACATCCAGCCTATGTCTTCAGAACATGTTAGTGAAGCTGATGTTTTAAGATTATCTGAAGACGAAGTTTTACGAAGGTAATTCAATTTAATTCAAAATATAGCCGTCTAAATCATATTTATATTTATAGATTGGACGAAATCAAATCTACAATGAGAACGAGCCTTCCAGTGGAACAACGAATAGAAGTGGCAAGAAGACAACAAGCCGCCCGGGCAGCTGCAAGATTAGACAGAGAGCAAGCTCGAATTCAAAGAGAAATAGAGAAATCTGAAAGACAAGAAGCAGCTCGGCGAGATCGAGAGGCGAAATCCCAACAACTACTCGAGGTAAATTAAAATTTTAATATTACAAACAATTTGAACTAAAATAATTATGTTTTTTTCGTATTTTTGTTTCTTTTGTGGAAAATGCATGTTGATAAAAACCATAAAATTTTATATAAAATTCGAGCATGCTTAAATTTCTACTAAAAGATGTTTAATTGATAATAAAAAAAACTTTACAAAAACGAATTAAAAAAAAAAAAATGACTTGAAAGCGATTTCGTTGTTTTATGTTACTGTTATGAGCTGTTGTGTTGCATGACAGGCAAAGCGTAAGCGACAAGAGGAGATTGAAAAGCATAAGCAGGAAGAGCAACAACGAAAACAACAGGTAATACAAATATTTATTTTATATTATTTTAATTTATGGGGCATGAATTAAAAATAATTTAAAATTTTTTTTGATATTAAAGTAAATTATTGTATCAACTTTTTTTGTTTACTTTATACGAAACGTCATTTCAATTTTGTTGCAGGAGAGAGAATTGAAAAGACAACAAAACGCTATCCTTAAAGAACAGGTATGTTCAAATAAAAATTGTATTTTCTAAAACTAACGTAGAGAAAAGGAAAAATCACGCTTTCAAATTCATTTTGTATAAAAAGATTAATCATCATATTTTCTTGTTCACGTATTAATAATTATTTAATACACATAAATCATCATATTAGAGAACGTATAGATCTTGTTTGTCTAATATTAATGAGTTTTCGTTATGTACAAAATGTTTTAAACGTTTCGAGTTTGATTCATATCTTAGAAACTAAATAGTACATTTTTTGAAACTGTATACGCGTTTTAGACAATTTTTAACTCAGTCATCAAGTCATCAAAATAAGCTTGATTTAATGATAAAAAAGTGTGTCCACTTGAAAAGTATCCGAAACATTTCTATTCAGTTAAAAAAATAATACAGGTAATATGTTTAACAAATGTAGATGAGGTTAAAATTATGCAAGCAGTCCCAGAAATACATGTATAGAATGTAATAACATGTTTGCACATCATGATGTTAAAACAAGCTGAGCTTGGAAGCAGCTCAGTAGCAAAAGTTTCTGTACATTGAGCATGAAAAAATTAAATAAGCAGAAATGTATGTAACACTAATTCAACAAGTAATATTAAAACAGATCATTTTCCGCCTTTTACACAATAAACTGGTTTATACAAAACCATCTTTACTTAAGCACTGAATAAGTTATGGTGACGATATTTGGGGATTTATTTTATTGCAAAGTGAAAAAACTGAAACGAATTCCTCTCAATTAATAGTCATTATGCCTATGTTTACGGTTGACTGCGCGATTACTTGGTCGCATGCATCCTGTAATTTATTGTCTAAAGGCAAGCAACTGGTTGCCTCATTTTGGATATGCCATCGGAAAAACGGTCTAAAGCAACAATAGTGAATTAGTTCAACTAATGGAATTACGTCCTTTGTTACATAACAATATATTTTCTTTTAATCTAGACTATAAAAAGGCGACATGTTGGTATGAAAACGATTCTCAGCAATCTCTCTCTCTTCAGCAATACCCTGACGATACCTACAATAATTACATCCAAGGATAAATTTCAGGAACATTCTAATTCTTTGAACTGATAAGTTAACTTTAATATTGTGCGACGAGCCCAGTTAGGCGAGGTTACTTACTGTATTGTAGGTGACTTGCTAACTTTTCCATCACTTTTAGTCATCCTACAACAGAATATAATCGTTTAAAGTCTTGATAAAATGTGAAACTTGATAAAATCATCAAGCTCCGCAATAATCACAAATCTCACTAGTATCTGTTTGGGATTTCACCCATTTAAATTATTCCCATATTTCATCCATGTTCTACTAGTCATCTCTGAGATACCTTAGTTTCTTGGTTCTTTAGACTAAGATGAGTTTTAACGTTTTGTTTGCACGCAGGACAGAGAGGGGAACTAATAAGCCGTCTTAATACTTTGTCTCCTGCATCTAAGTCGTTAGAAAAAATATAGTTTCCAAACACATTCCATTGAAGAGAATTCCCAAGTTCCACATTTTAGTTTAAGTGTAGATGGTTTGGACTCTGATGAGTTAAATTTTACACTACTATTATCTATATAAAAACGTGCTACATCGATTTCAAATTTTTCAATGTGGGTTAAACATTAGTCTATTTAACAAGAACCAAACTTTATACCGAAAACTTTAAGACGATTGATGTCAAAATCATCCTTCTGATACCATATTCTGATTGACGCGCTATATGAATATTCAAAGAACTGTGACACTCTTCATTCCAAAAGTTCGCTTCACATGTTTCCACATCTCATTAATGGTTTCGCATCCTCCAATATAATGCCTGTTGGTTTGATTTAGTGCCCATGTTGTATACCACTGGGGTTATGCACAATCAGCTGCTTCAATCAATACGCCTGTATTGCTTTCGGTTGATCTGCAGTGATCTGTAGACGTCGAATTGGTGCTTCTCACTTTTTTACTCCAACTTGTTCGTCAACAATAATTAAAAATCTGTTTTGTTGTATGTCATTTTCAAAGAAATTACTGAGTATGCGTGTTTACTGTTACCCAGCACTAACAGAAACAACTCCAGCCATATCATATTATCATATAGGCACCTGTACATGATGGTATGATTAATCCATGAGCTGGTGGACAATCTACAAAGTATAGGTTCGTATAATGACTTCTTCTTTTTCAATGGCTCCACAAACCCTTAGCGGTTCTTGGCCTCTCTCAATTTTTGTCTCGAAACCTCTCTATCCACGACTTTCCTCCAGTTTCTGAAATAAAGTATATCCTTGGCGTCCCTGTCCATCTCGTCATCCCGTTTTGGTCTCGGCCTTCCCCTAGGTCTTACTCCTTACACTCTCTTATTAAGCAGTTGCTTCGGTGTTCTTCCCTTCTTTATCCTGGCTACATGACCTGCGCAGCCCAATCTCTGGATATTGATGCATTCGGAGGGCATTGGCTCCTTGTAGTAGATGTATAGTTCCTGGTTATATCTTCTAGAGAATCTGGGAAGGTACTTCTGGAAATGGCGCTTTCAACCAAACGCCAGCAAAACTGAGGTAACATGATTCCAGCTAAATAATAAACTCGGTGCCAGAAAGCTTAGAATACAATTAGCGAAAACATAGAAATACCTAGGCGATACACTTGATAGAGTGCTGTCATTCAAAAAACCAGAACCAGAACAGCGGAGAAAGTAAAAACAAGGAAAAAGCTTTGTATGCTCAAGAGCACTGAACCGTTGAATACTGTGAGTCTTAGTGTGGCTTAATAGTCCTCATGTCCACAGAATCGATGTTCAACTCAATAACACGATGAAATTGATCGTGAATGATGAAGGGTTATCAAATCTACTCTAACGGAATGGCTTCCAGTATTGAGCCATATACCACCCCGAAACATGCACCGCATATATGCCCTCACATGAATAATACATGAAGATATTGGGTAACCATCACTTACACACTAGCCTCCAATCCAGAAACCTACCGATCAAAATAGCAGCCACTACAATAAATGAAGAATTCAGCCTGACTAACCAGGCTGAAAAAGTTCTCTCAATCCTCCTCAGGATCTTCTTTTCGAAGTCTGTGCTGTTTGCCGGTTTTTGAGTTCGCGTCCGAAACTTTATATTTCTGCGGATTTCCAGTATTCTTCTTTCTATTTCCCCAGCCCAGCTGCTGTTTTCAGCAACCATCTTGTCTGTGGGTTCACGTAAATAATTAATTAAGCAGTTGTTAAGGGTGGGTCACTGCCAACTGAATTAGTAATTAAAGATAACATTAACAGAATAGACATCGAAACATAAACAAAGGACCACGTGGCACGTGCTGATTTACTCGCCGCTCATCCGCTGCTTGAGTGGTCAGACTGCGCTACTTGCTGATGGCAGCTAGTCACCAGGAGGCTACCAAAATAGAACATGTCCAATTTCACTAGCCGAATTTTATGCTCACACCAAGCTGATTGATAATATGATGATTGATAATGTAATGATACAATCTTTACATTTAAGGACGAATTTCTTCACAAGTCTAAAATACCAGTTAACGATTCATTTTCATTCAACTTCAGTAACATTCTAATTCTCTGAACTGATAAGTTGCTAATTTTTCCATGATTTTTTGTCATCCTGCAGCAGGATATAATCGTTTGAAGTCTTAATAAAATTTGAAACGTGATAAAATCATCATGCTCCGCAATAATCACAAATCTCACTAGTATCCGTTATATATTAATATATATATAATATATATCCCATATAAATTATATGGGATTTCACCCGTATAATTTATTCCCATATTTCATCCATGTTCTACTAATTATCTCCTCCATCAGGACAGAGAGGGCAACTAATAAGCCGTCTAAATACGTTATCTCTTGCATCTAAGTTTACCTAACAGTTGACAGTAGCTGTTTTTACAACTCGCGGCTGGCAAGCAGCCTAGTGTGATCCGCGCTTAAGAATTGGCGATCTCTAATTTGTGATTCGTTGCTATATATAAAACTTAAGCATTCCAAGAATTTTTTTCCAACCTATTTAACATTCTCTAGTTGATTCCAAACAATTGCGTAACTTTGGGTAGTTGGTTTGCCAAGTTTTTCATGCAATAGATAGTCCACAAAAGATTTTCAAAAGGTTAACAAAGGTATTCCAAGGAACAATAAAATTGGTGGATATTTTAAGCTATGAGAATATAAAAGTCAAGTTACAAATATAAATATCGTGTTAACTTTTTAATCTTAAATTTTGTTAAAATCCAAATATGATAATGTAACCTTGAAATGATTACAATAAAAATGTTTTTAGATATGAATCTTTTGAAACTGTTAAAACATATATGTATGTATTGAAAATGTTTGAAAACTTTTGGTACTTTGATTTAAATAAATAAAATTTAAAAAAACTGACATGTTGTTGGATTGAATAGTACTTACTTTGTGTGTGACCTTTAGTGTATATGCGTATGTTTTATTAGTTTGATTCATACTCATATTTTCACGAATTAGCGTTAAATGTGTCTCTAGCCATGTTTACCGTTTTTATTATTATTATTTTGTTTTAATTTTGTGGCTTGTGTAAATATTGTTACGCTGTTTTTCTCCCATAGATGTACATACAGGAGATCAGTAAACAGCGAGAAATGCTCTACACTGTCGAATTGGTATGGCTCTTGACATAAAATATTTGTCAAAACGTCTATCATATATATTCATCTTACTACATTATTTGCATTTCTACTATATTTTTCTTATTTAATTTTTTTCTCTGTTTCACCTACTTTCTTTCTGTCGCAGCTACGCTTTCCGTTTTATTGTTCTGGTGTTTTACTTATTTTATATTTTGGTACTGTTTAGGTTTCAAAATTGGCCAATAGGAAATTATTATTACGTCTTGCACTTTTATAATTAATCTAAACTAAAACGATTTTTTTACTGATGTTTTTAAAATATACTATTATTATTAAATGTACTTATTTATTTTTCAAAACATTCAATTAAGTACATTTAGTAACAATAAGGGGCTAACAAACCTGAAATAAGTCGATTAACAACAATTTTTAAAAAAGCATCGCTTTACTAACTAACATTATATTTATTCTTTGGTGACAGCATGGCAAAAATATAATTTAAATATGCTTAAGTTTAAAAATTAAAATAAATCATTTTTATTATTTTTTTTTTCATTAGGAGAGGGAAAGAAGAAGGCAACATCTAGCATTAGTGAAAGCGTTAGAAAGTCGGCGAAAATTAGAAGAACGCGAACGTAAAAAACAACAAATTTTAGCTGAAAAGCAAGCGAACAAAGAAAAAAAATTGGAACAAAGACGAATCGAAATGGAGATATTAACTGAGCTTAGGAAACCTTGCGAAGATTTAGAACTCGATCAAAAACCATTACCAGAATTCACAAGAATACCAGGGTTAAAATTACCTGGAAAAGCTTTTGCAGATGTTTTAATGGTTTTTGAATTTTTGCATAATTTCGGCGAAACTTTAGGTTTCGATATGGAAAGTTTACCGACTTTAGATTCTTTACAACAAGCACTTTTATACAACGATGCGAGTAATGAAGCGGAAGAGGAATTATTATCCGTTATGACACATTTAATAGTGTGTGCGATTGAAGATCCTGGAATTCCAAATCCAGCCAGACACACGACAATTCTCGGTCAAAGTTTAAGACAAGCCGACATCACCCACGCGAATATCTCGGAAATTTTAAGAATATATCTTTATGCGAATGCTACTGGAGAAGTTAAATCTTTAACGGGCGTCCATTTTGAAAGGGACCGCGAAAAAAGAGTTGCCGACCATCATCAAAACGAATGCGAAATGCAACAAACACAAGCTGGAAAAAACGCGACTTATTACGAATTATTACACGAAAATCCTACTTGGAAAATGTCCGATTTACTTAAAGATAAGCCGTTTCTTTCGTTATCTCCGACTCATAAAGCAGCTATATTAGCGTTCCTTTGTAACGAGTTATTACAAAATAAAGCCGTTATTCGACAAATCGAAGGTTCTTTAGAAACCGTCGCGCAATGCAAAAAAGAAAAATGGTTATTGGACGCAAAAATTAGAAAGTACGAAATATTTATTTTATGTATTTAGGTTTTGTTCTTATTTGATTCTTTTTAGATTACGAATGTTGCATAGCCGCAAAGTTAGAACAGAAGCAGTTGAAAAAGCAGTCCATCTCAAAATTGATGGAGAATCAGTTGAAGGACCAATTGATTCTCCAGCCACAACACACAAAGAAGACCCAATCATAATGGATCACGAAGATGAAGAAAATGAAATGAGTGAAAATGAAAGTGTTATCACGCAACCAGAAGAAGTAAGTTAAAAAAAAACGTGTTAATTAAAATAATAATTAAATACTACTTTTTTTGCAGGAGGAAGATAATAAGTTGTCTGGCGAAGAACTAGGTAAAAAAATAGAAAAAATACAAAAAGCCTCAGAGGTTCAACTTCAATCATTAAATTCGTCTGCACATCAATTGAGAGCAACTTGTTTTGGTCAAGATCGATATTGGAGAAGATATTGGTCCCTTCCCAAAGCTGGTGGAGTGTTTGTAGAAGGAATGGAATCTGCAGAACCTGAGTTTTTGGAAGAAGTTGAAAAAGAAGACGAAATTAAGGCATCCCAAGATGTTAAAAGTTTGGACGACGTAAACAAAATTTTATTTCAAGTTGAACCAATCAACGACAAAGAAGTCGACAAAGAAGTTAGTAACATTGTTGGTAACAATAACGAAACTAAAGAGACCATAAAAGATGAGGTAAAAGAACAAGAAAAGGATAGTTTGGAGGATAAAGAAAACAAGATGGTACAAGAAAAAATCATCGATGATAACGATAACGAGCATCGCAAAGTTACAAACCGGTTAGAAGTGATAGAAAATGGAGAAATAACCGATTGTACAAATCATAATTTAGAGGAGTTAAGAAAAAGTGTTGATAGAATTGTTCAAAGTTTAGATAAGGAAAAGGAACAAAAAATGGAATCTCAACCAGAACAAATAAATCAAACAATCATAAATGTAACTGATCCAATTGTAACAAACGTAAATGAGATAAATCATATTACCGAGAGCAGTATTAAAGTGGAGGTAAAATCTGAGCCAGAAATCGAACAAATCACGAAAAAGTTTAATCTTTTCGAAAAACTAGGCGAATGCATGGAAAGGGAGAACAAAACCGAGGAAGATCTCAAAGGTGATGTAAAACCGGAAGCTAAAGAAGACTTAAAAAATGAGATTTTAAATGAACTGAAAACCGATATAAAGACTGAAATTAAAACCGAACCTGACGAAGACAGAGAACACGATAAAAAATGGTTTAGCATCTTACCTAAAGACGGTCAAAGTTGTAAAGGTATAAATCTTACAGCCGGAAATCGTTGGGATAATGGAGTAGGAGCTTGCACCAGAGATAATCTCACAGAATTAAAAATCCCCGTTTTTCCACCTCCAAGTTGTTCTTCCACTTACATCTCATCAAACTGCGACAGTCCAGCTCCGTTACAAATGACAGCCGAAGAAAGCGCTCAATTGGAATACATAAAAGTCCATGGACTACCAAAAGCTTGCGAAAGAGCCACCATACCTAAAGACAAAAGATTCGGTTGGTGGAGAGTTTTAGAAGTTGAACAACTCAAACAAGTTTTGGATAACCTTCATGTACGCGGAGCAAGGGAGAGGGAATTAAAGAGGAGTGTTTTAACAATTATGCAAATGATGTATGAAGATCCTTCAAAACTTCACATTGAAGAAGGTCAAAAAGAAAGTACTGAATTAACTCCTGCTGATTGTGAACCTGTTGAAATGTTGGAAGATTTGAATACACCCGCTCCTGATCGATTACATGCATGGAGTGAACTTGTAGCTAATAGAGTTGATTTGTTTCTTCTTGAACAAGTAAGATTTTATACCATTAAACGTATTTATATTTTATTTAACTGGATGTCTTTTTGTTGATCTTTTTAGGTAGAAGCTTTAGAAGATAAAGTAGCAAATGCAAGTATGCAAGTAAAAGGATGGAGACCGCCAAGTCGCGAAGAAAACGATACTCCTGATGACATAGTGTATGTGGCAAAAGAACGATTACGATCGCTAGAAGCGGCTATAGAACGAAGGTATTTGAAACCTCCATTAGGAGCCAGGTAAAAATTTATTTTTTGATGATGATCGTTGTATTTGCATTGAAATGTAATTATTCCAGTAGCGGGGATCCGAATTTGGCAGCAATCGCCCAGGAGGCGGCCGGGAATCCAGCCCCGGTTCAGCCACCGTTGCCTTTTGACGAGGTTCCGAAAGGTTTGGTTGTATGGCGAGAGGCGATCATTCGGTCACAAACGTCAGCGCAACTCGCGATGTGCTTGTATTCCCTCGAGGCGTCCATCGCTTGGGATAAGAGTATTATGAAAGCTGTGAGCCTACCTCATGTCTTTAATAAACAGAGAGCTCGCAAATATAACAGCAAGCTGAGTGTGGGTGCTTGTGCTTTTTCCGTTCTTCTTTTATAATTTTAATTTAACCTTATTAATTTGCATGATAACTGACTTTTCTAAAAATTTTTTTTTAGACTTAAATTTTTAAACAATCGAAATCAACTGAAACGGTTCTTAATGATTTTAGTTACTTTTTATGTCAAATTTAAATAAAATTGCTGATCCATAACACTTTAATTTTTAATGCATTTAATAGACGATTTAATAGTGGGTACACTCAACAGCATAGGTTAAGAGACTTAGGTGCAATACTAATGCAAATTTGGTGTTGAATATATGATTTTAGGAAATAGCAGCTAGCTTGCTTTCATCTTCAATTCATTCCTATAGAGTGTTCCAGTCATCAAATTTATCTTTGGGCATAGAACTATAAAATCTATATAAATGATCACTGCCAAAAAAAGAAACTTCACGTCTTCGTGGTTGGATTTGCAACTCTCAGTTAAAAATATCAAAGTAAATAATGTTCTAATTTTATCTCATCGACGCGATCCACTAATTTTAAAGCTGATATGCTCTAGTATTTTAGCTGTGTTCTTATCTGCTGTCAAAAGTAACTAATGTTACAAAATATATGTGGAGCCGTATAGACGGGGCAAATCTAGAATATTTTTCGTGTCTTATTGTACATTTATCAAAAGACGTTCTTGAGGCTAAACACAAAGAATATAGAACATATTGCAAAAACCACACCCGAAAAGTCTCTAGAATTAAGTGCAATGAAGATCTTTTACATACATTATTAGTAACATCAGACCCGTTAATTAGTAGCATTCAACATTTACCAACTCTAAAGAAATCTTCCTTATCAAGAAAAGTACAATCTCTTCTTCATATCCCTTTAGAAACAGAAACAGGCGAAGGAAACAAAGAAAATGTAGCGGTAGCTATACTAACCCAGTAATTTAATTCCAACATAAAAAATCCATAAAAAACCATGAAATGCTCCAAATTAATCGACTAGAACATTTTTCTTGCACTCAATCTCAAAGCAGGTTTGAATATGAACTTCCTAAATGAATAAATGTGACCACTTCCGGTTACGCAATTTGACTAATATTTAATATCTATATATTTTCATGATTATAAAGACTCATACAAATTTTCATGCATTTATCTTATGTAAAATGCCGTATAAACAGTGATAAAGGACGACTTCCGGTTACGCGGTTCGAGTGAAATTTTACGATTTGAATGTTTCTCATAGTTTTAATCACTTATGTAATACTTCATTTGTTTAACTCGTTTCAAACTGCACGTTTTTTATTTTATTTTATTTACCAGACCAGCTCTATAGTTATACATGGCATTTTTATTATTTAATAATATATACAACATGAGGAGTCGCCTTCGCTCTCCTAAGCGTCTTGTGGGATGGGTTGAGTTAGAGGAAAAATAATTTACAAGTATAGATCTTGGAATAATCTCCGTTGCAATCGTCTGTGAATATTTCTTCTGTCCAAATTGTAGAGTTCTGTTTAAAGCTGATAAGATATATCAACTTATTTGGATCCAAGATACAAAATGAACTTTTTTGATACTGATTTAACTAACGAAGCAACTCTAAAAAGAGGATACTTTAATTAATAATTGGCGATATTTCATACTCATATTTCAATACTTTAAATATTGTTTTCTCAAAAACTAAAAGGTATTTTTCAAAGTGGGTTGGTTCATTGGAAAGAGGATACTTTTATTAACATATTGGGAAATTTGCATAGTCATATTCTAAAAAATCGATTTTATACGAATTATTAAAATTTAATCGGCTAAAATTGCAAAATTCGAAAAAATTGTCGATTATTTCAAAAATTTATTTCTCAAGAACTAAAAGTGATTTTTCAAAACGGCTTGTTGCATTAAAAAGAGGATACTTTAATTAATAATTGGTGATATTTCCACAACGATCCTTCAAGAAATGAATTTTATAGCGAATTTTGAATGTTATCAATGAAAATTGCAACATCGAAAATTTTTTCAAAACTTTAAATATTGTTTTTTCAAAAACTTAAAGCTATTTTTCAAAACGGGTTGGATCATTGGAAAGAGGACACTTTTATTAACACTTTGGAAAATTTTCGTATTCATATTCCAAGAACTGGATTTTATACGAATTTTTAAAACTTAATCGGCGAAAATTGCAAAATTCGAAAAAATTGTCGATCATTTCAAAAATTTATTTCTCAAGAACTAAAAGTGATCTTTCTAAACAGCTCGTTGCATTAAAAAGAGAATACTTTAATTAATAATTGGTGATATTTCCACAAGGATCCTTCAAGAAATAAATTTTATAGCGAATTTTGAATTTTCTTAATGAGAAAAGTCCTATTGGGGTTGAACTTGATTATCTGCACTCTCCAACAGCTAAAAGAGATACTAATTCCTGTGAATGGTGGAGTACTAAGTAATAGGTTGTTGATTTGAGATGTGAATTTTATCCTCCTAAATTGACCACTTTGAATCGTTTCCTTATAGATCTGGAAAATCTATTATTGATTACGTTTGCTTGCATAACTCTGGAAAAGCAGTGGAATTTTTGACCACATTGTTATTAAAATCTTGCATTACATGATAGATTGTAAACTGCGTTACTTCTCTTATGTTCACTTGATGCATCGCTAAGGACACTATCCCGTTTATTTTCATCATTATACATATAACGAATTTTGAAAGTTATCGATGAAAATTGCAACATCGAAAATTTTTTCAAAACTTCAAAGATTGTTTTCTCAAATACTAAAAGGTATTTTTCAAAGTAGGTTGGTTTCAAATTCGTAAAATTGACCACTTTGAAGCGTTTCTTTACTGACCTGGAAAATCTATTATTGATTACGTTTTCTTACATAACTCTGGAAAAGCAGCGGAATTTTTGACCACATTGTTATTAAAATCTTACAGTACTTGATAGATTGCAAACTGATTTACTTTTCTTACGTTCACTTGATGCATCGCTAAGAACATTCTCGTTTATTTCCCTTTTAATTACTTGAACTATCACATCTGTTTTCAAGTTGGCATTAAATACATGCAAGATTTCTAGCTATATGATGCGACATGGCACTCAAAGTATTAAAATATTTCCTTTTGTTAATGTCTAACAGAACTGCTATAGTGACCCAACCCAACCCAACTTAATTACGTAGGGTGTTCCATGTTTTGGTCAAAGTTTTCTATAGATTCTGCAATTTTCTTCACTTCATTTAATATTTCCATTTCTACATTTTCGCCCACGATTTCATTTTGATCTTCTACATTTGCTTGTTTATCACCAGCAAATTAGGGACAATTCATTCCACACATTCATTATAGTCAGTCGATTTTTTAATTTCGCGTTTCCAATTTTACTGTTAAATCTTTATTTTCATCAATGACCTTTACCATGTTTTCCATACTTTTACATAAATGGAGTTTAGTAAATAGGATTAGTGGTGTTGTGTTTAGTGACAAAAAGATTATTTTTATATTAACGTTATAGGATGCGTTATCCAGAAGTAATATTATTTTAAAGGCCAAGTTATCCAAGTTATTCTCAATTTCTACTGGAAAGTAATAGTCCAAAGTAACCATGTAAATTAAATGCATGTGTTCTTATGGACGTTTTCTGTTCGTTTAACGTACATTTGCTTAACATACAGCAATTTAGGAACGTACTGTGAATTTCTAACCAGGCAAGGGTACAAAAGAAATTAAAAGAATTCTCAACAACATAGATATTTTGGAATCTATAAAAAGATAACTCATTCCAGAAAATGAATTTTTGATGCATTTCAAAATATGAATTAATTAACAATATGATTCTGCATTATAATAGTTGTAAGAAAAGTCAGTTAACTGTTTTCTACTTTTATACCTTAAGCTGTCCTTATTGTGCACTAATTTTAATAATTTTCCTGGCTGAACGCTACTGATGTTGCGCTTGTTTAATTATTGCACAATTTTATTACATCAAGATTTTTCTAGATCGAATTTATAATCACCTAAAATCTAGAAGAATCATTAGATAACTAATATAGAATAGTTACCTAGTAAATGTCTAACTTCCATTAAAATCTAAAACACTCGCACATTATCACACTAACGATTAATTATAAATAGTACTTAAATAACGTTTAATAATTAGATTAAAATTATTTTTCGAAAAATTCCCTAATCATAATTTTTTTCTTATTAAATTTACAGAATTGTCAGTTTTGTAATAGCGGCGACAACGAAGATAAACTCCTTCTTTGCGATAGTTGTGATAAAGGTTATCATACCTATTGTTTCAAGCCTAAAATGGAGAACATCCCCGACGGTGATTGGTACTGCCACGAATGCATGAATAAAGCAACCGGGGAAAGAAATTGTATAGTGTGTGGTAAAAAGCAATCTTCAACTGGAACCCGATTAATTTTATGCGAAATTTGTCCTCGTGCTTATCACACTGATTGCATCCAACCAATACTATACAAAGTACCGCGAGGTAAATGGTACTGCATAAATTGCATTTCAAAGAAACCCCAAAAGAAAACGATGAAACGAAACAAAGTTGCTAGAGAAAGCGAAAGTTCTGATTTGCAGCATCCTCCAAGTCCTGCGCCTTCGCATAGCTCTGTTACGACGAACGAGGACAATAATTTACCGATACCTTGCAATCAAAGTGATGTGTCTAATTCGAGTTTAACGAATACTGGGTCGCCGTCGACGACACAAAATGTAAAAAAAGACAAGTTTACTAAAAAATTATTGAAGGAACTAGCACCGTGTAAGGCGATATTGGAAGATTTGGAGTGTCACGATGATGCGTGGCCATTTTTACTTCCAGTTAATACAAAACAATTTCCTACTTATAAGAAAATTATTAAATGTCCCATGGATTTGTCAACAATTAAGAAGAGATTACAAGATTTATAGTAAGTTTTAAATTAGCTTAATATTTTAATATGTAATAATATTTGTTATATATATAGTTATAAATCAAGAGATGAATTTTGTATGGATGTAAGACAAATTTTTAACAACTGTGAGACGTTTAATGAAGATGATAGTCCAGTGGGAAAAGCGGGACATTGCATGCGTCAGTTTTTCGAAGCGCGTTGGAATGAGCTTTGTAACTCTCATAGTTGAGGAATACTTTACCCCAAGAGACCGTATCATCGGAGAGTGAAAGTGACGAACAATGCGGTTTAAGTTAAAAAAAAAAAGAAATTAAAATTGGTTCGGTTATTTTATTAGTGAATTTTACCCGTTTTTTTTGACTATTTAAAAGATAAAAACGGTAGATTAATGTATATGACAAAATAATTAATAACAATACAGGTATTTTCAAGTGTGTGATATATATAAAAAAAAAACTGAAGAAAAACATTTATACAAAAAAAGGTATACCGATTTAAAGCTTGTTACTGTCCATAATTTGTAATTACTTGTATACATTCATCGAAACAAAACGAGATAACATTATTAATTACATGAAGAAAAATGAGAAGAACACGATGATAAAAATACGTGTTGTGTAGTTCAAAATGTTGTGATTTAATATTGAATTTTTTATAAGGACATTTTTGCCGATTTGTATTAAATTTGAAAAGAAAAGAAAACTTTTTAGTCTTAGTTGTAACCTCTCACGATTTGTATTGTATTTTTTACACCTTATTTAAATGTTATTTATTTGGTATGTAGTCTTTTTTTGTAATGAACAAAAAAGTCGTTTTCGTACGTTTTTTTTTAATTGCTAGTTTTTAATGAGATTTTTCTATTTAGTATTTATTTTTGGCACCCCCAGTGTTGCTGATTCTACGATGACGACCACGTTTTGAATATGTGTGAGGGAGAATACGCGTTCTCTAATAAAATTAATTTTTAAGATTGAAATTAAATATAATGAAAAATAAAAAAATAAATAAAATGTTTTCACTGACGGTACTGATAAAAACAAAATGAACAAATTAATTGTACATAATCATTCCGTGCTTGCTGATTTTTGCATTTTGTAATATTCTATCATGATGAGGAAACATGTTGTTGATAATTATATTGTATAAATTGTAAGATAAAAACTCTTTATAACAAACAAAAAAAAGAAGAAAAAAATATGAGAACCACGCTCAATATTTAGAGATTGTAGTAGATCAAAACGAGATCTTAAAATGACTCATTTGTCGTCCTCTTTTCCTCCTCTTCTCTCTATCTATCTCTCTGTCACCTCTCAATTCTGCCCATTTTTTGGATTTTTGTGATTACACAAAAGATATATACGAACTACTAAATGTGTTTGTAGAATATAGTTTTGTTGCAAGGACTAAAGATATTTGCGAAAAATGAATTTAGAACCTAGATGTGTATTTCGAGTGTAAGATATTTATAATAATTATATTTAATTATAAATGTCACTGTGTTTTTCTTTTTATACCTACCAATTTTGACAAAAAAATATATTTTACAAGGGATGAGATACAAAGTCCGACAAACTCGTAAATGAGTAGCAAAAATTATACAAAATTAGGGATTTGTATTTTTTTTTATGCTATCAGTCAAGGACAGTAGAATCTATCTTTAGATTCTACTGTCCTTGGCTATCAGTTATTTTTTATTTTTTAAATGCAACGCTTTATTGAAATCGAAATTATCTTTTTCTTTGGATACAGTTCAACTAACTTATAATGTAGGTACTTATTTAAACAACTACTTTGCGGAAATATGTACTGCCTACTTAATTAAGTGTTCAAAATGTGTTCTGTTGTTAATTGATACATTCCTGCTTGATTCTCCTAACATTAATCGTGATTAATCGATAATTAATTACTTATTAGTAATTAGTTAGTCTAGTAATTAGTGATTAGTCTTTTAACTCAACTTTAAAAGTATCCCCAATAGAAGGAGAATTTACAATTGCGATCTGGTGAATGAGGACACAACTCAATACTACTTCATTTACCAATCTATTATCCAGGAAATACTTCATCTAAATAACGTTGAACATTTATAAACAAAATGAACTTAATTTCATCTCTTGTTGAAACCATATCTGATTCAATCTAATTCCAACAGGTTTCAGTGCAAGTACTACTTCATTTCTAAATAGCATTTCATATATATCAGCTGTTAAATTTCTAAATCATACATTTATCCTTTGTGGTCTTTCAGTACGATTTTTACGTATTCAATGAGGACCATTCCTATACCTTTGAGAGGGTATTTAGTATACAGCGTGTCCTGTATCTCAGAGCATTGTACGATTGAAGGATACATTATTTTGCAGCAAGCGATTTTTCTAATAAATTTTTTTCGAAATGTTTATAATAACCGCACGGGAACTGTTAAAAACTCACCAATAGCAGATTGTAAATCAGACTCAGGTAATCGGTGCCACCCTCGGCCTGTCCGCTACGCCGATGATAACTCGTTACCCACGTGTACTCACCAATAGGTTCGACACGGAAAGAGAAATAAACTTTTTCGGTGAATCAAAGTCTTCCGCTATTGAACAATAGCGGATAACTTTAAACAGTTCAGTTCGGTTTTATAAACATTTCGAAAAAAATTTATTAGAAAAATCGCTTCAAAATAATGCATCGTTCAACCGTATAATGCTCTGATGCGGAAGATACGGGACACTCTGTATAAATGATGNGCCCGCACCCTTGGCCACCGAGATCACTGGGCCTCACTCCCCTAGATTTTTGTCTTTGGGGATGGATGAAGTCCTTAGTTTATGCTAGGAAAGTGGACACAAGGGATGCGCTACTAGATCGTATTCTTAATGCTGCGGCGTTCATTAGAGCGAATCATCGTTCACTGAAACTGGCTACCAGGTCCATTTATAAACGCGCAAATAAGATTTGAACATATGGGCTTATTTTGCTTATTTTAGCTTCCTAGACATGTCCTTAAAATCTTTCCATTTCCTCCCGAATCACCCTGTATATCAGCTGTTAAATTTCTAAATCATACATTTATCCTTTGTGGTCTTTCAGTACGATTTTTACGTATTCAATGAGGACCATTCCTATACCTTTGAAAGGGTATTTAGTATACAGCGTGTCCCGTATCTCAGAGCATTGTACGATTGAAGGATACATTATTCTGCAGCAAGCGATTTTTCTAATAAATTTTTTTCGAAATGTTTATAATAACCGCACGGGAACTGTTAAAAACTCACCAATAGCAGATCGTAAATCAGACTCAGGTAATCGATGCCACCCTCGGCCTGTCCGCTACGCCGATGATAACTCGTTACCCACGTGTACTCACCAATAGGTTCGACACGGAAAGAGAAATAAACTTTTTCGGTGAATCAAAGTCGTCCGCTATTGGACAATAGCGGATAAGTTTAAACAGTTCAGTTCGGTTATTATAAACATTTCGAAAAAATTTTATTATAAAAATCGCTTCAGAATAATGCATCGTTCAACCGTATAATGCTCTGATGCGGAAGATACGGGACACTCTGTATAAGTGATGCAAGCTTGATCTAGATCAAGATTTTCATCATCACGCAGAGCAATTGTCTATGTGAATCCCTGTATTAAATAGGTGATGTAAAAATCTGTTAAAAAATAAAAAAAACAGAAATAATCTCGGCCGACTTCGAAGACGTCGGTTGTCCCAAGCATCACGAACAATACTTATGGCGTCAGACGTTTTTGAATTTGATCGAGATTAACTCTTTTAAGTATTAGAAACTCAACCCAAGTATCACTAAGACCATATTGTTTGCAAAAGTATAAACACTGCTGACAGACTTGCTAGACACTACAGACTTTGGCCAGTAAAATTCCAGACTGTGTGAAATTCCGTGAACCCAAGCTTACCTTGCTTGAAACAGGAGGAAGAAATAATCTTGGCTTCGATGTAATACTTGCGAGCAAGTCACTTGCGGAAGAACTTCTGCAAGTATTTGCTGAAGTGTTTCCACTCAAACCGAAACTTACGGAAGTCTGCTTCCAGAAGTAGTTTGTAGAAGTTATCACAACGAACTTGCTGCAAGAAATTGCAGACGTGTTTCCACACAATGTGAGTACAGCTTGCAGTAGTTTGCTTTTTTTACGAATGACAGTATAAAAATGTCTTGTGGCAAAATAAGATTGGCAGCTGCCATCGCAGCATATTTAATTAAAAAGAAACAAATTAAAAAAAAAACAAAAAGAAGTGTTTGGGTGAAAAATTGGGTGCTGCGGCGCGTAGATTTAAGTTTCCAAAATACATTACTTGAAGAATTGCGGACCGAAGACTCCATGCAACTGAAAAATTTCCTGAAAATGTCAAATGATGATTTTGAATACATTTTATCTTTAATTCAAACAAGTATTCAAAAGCAGGATACTAAAATGAGATTGGCTATACCTCCCAAAGACCAGCTTTTAGTTACTCTTCGATTTTTGGCAACAGGTAAGAAAAAAAACAAGAAAAACGATTATATATCCGTATTTTCTTATTCTTACCAAATTATCCTCAGTTTCTTTGGGTACATGAGATGACGTCATGTATTTCATGTCATTATAAAACTCCCACTTGCTAACATAACATCATCAGCACTTTGGCCACTTTTTTTTTCTTTTCTTTGTTTACTTCTTGACCAAACTGCGTTCGGAGGTTGTACAATTTCCTTTTGACCTCTTCTTCGGGTGCGTCTATATCATTGGCTATTACCTTTAAAGCATTCTGTTTTTTAATTTTATTCTTATAGTCTTTTGAGGACGTGTCCCATAATTCAGGATAACTTTCTTGTTTTTCAATTACCAAATGTGTTTTTTCACTCCAAACGAATTTATTTTTGTCCATTTTTATAAATTTTGAAAAGAACTCAAAAAAAAAACACCGTTTACTCACGTATACCCGACTTCTTCTGCAAGTCTTCAAAACACTTGTAGTTCACAGCAAGTCGTTCAAGTTACTTCCAGCAAGCAACAAACACGTGTTTCCACATAATTGCTGCAAGTAACTTCTGCAAGCCGTGACTTCTGGAAGTCGACTTCTAATACGTGTTTACACGACAAAAACTTCTGGAAGTCGCTTCTGGAAGCAACTACCGCAAGAAAACTTGGTAGTGGACACACGGCTTTACAAACCCAACCCAAGTATCACAAACACCAAAACCATACTGCTTGCAAAAGACTAAATACTGTTGGTAGGAATTTGGCTAATATATGTTCACACTTTCTTAAATAAAAAAATCTTGGCGAATTTCGAAGACGTCGGTCACCCCAAGTATTGTTCGTGATATAAGAAATAATCTCAGCCAACTTCGAAAACGTCGGCCGCCCCAAGTATCATGAACAGTACTTAGGGCAACCTAAGTATCATGAACAATACTTAGGGAGATTAAGATAGCAAGCAAGGTAGGCTTGGTCTCACGAGATTTCACAAAGTTCTGGTGGTCGTGATACTCGAGATCTGGGCAAACAGTATTTAGTCTTTTACAAGTGTTAGATTATATACATTTATAAAACATTAGGTGTGCTCAAGTAGTCAATATAAAAAAGGTAGTTATTAGTTACGCTTTTATACTGTTTTATTTAATTTCTCTACTCTCATCTTGTATTTCAGAATCAGTTTCAATCTCAACACTAGAAGAATCAGTTTCAATTTTATTGTCAATTCTGTTTGTATCTAAACCTATGCATTTAACATTCTCCTCCACAACATCAACATGTCTAGCTACAATGATTCTGTTATTTACTAAAACTTTATACCCATCTTCAGTATAACCCAGCAAAATTCCCAAATCACCCTTTTTATCCCATTTAGACCTTCTTAACTATTCTACTCTCCGAACAAAAATTCTACATCCATATAGACGTAAATATTTAATAGTAGACTTTCTTCCAAAAATTATTTCGTAAGGCGTTTTCTTTTCTATAGCATTTGCTAATGTTCTATTCTTAAGATATGCAGCTTCGCATACTACCTCTGGTCAAAATTTTCGATCTATTTTTGCTTTTTTTAATAAACATCTAGACATGTCCATAATTGATCTATTATATCTTTCNAGTATCACTAAGACCATATTGTTTGCAAAAGTATAAACACTGCTGACAGACTTGCTAGACACTACAGACTTTGGCCAGTAAAATTCCAGATTTTGTAAAATTCCGTGAACTCAAGCTTACCTTGCTTGAAACAGGTGGAAAAAATAATCTTGCCTTCGAAGATGTGATACTTGAGGCAACCAATCTCTTCGAAGTCGGCCGAGATTAATTCTTTAGAATATCATAAACCCAACCCAAGCAACACAAACATCAAGACCGTCGGCCGAGATTAATTCTTTCGAGTATTACAAACCCAACCCAAGTATCAAAAACACCAAAACCATACTGCTTGCAAAAGACTAAATACTGCTGGTAGGAATTTGGCTAGTATATGTTCACACTTTCTTAAAAAAGAAATCTTGGCGAATTTTGAAGACGTCGGTCACCCCAAGTATCACGAACAGTACTTAGGGCAGCCTAAGTATCATGAACAGTACTTAGGGCAACCTAAGTATCATGAACAATACTTAGGGCGGCCGACGTCTTCGAAGTCGGCCGAGATTATTATTTCCATTCGTTTCAAGCAAGGTAGGCTTGGTCTCACGAGATTTTACAAAGTTCTGGTGGTCGTGATACTCGAGATCTGAGCAAACAGTATTTAGTCTTTTACAAGTGTTAGATTATTAAATTGAAATTGATAAAAACTTATTAGTCAATATAAAAAAGGTAGTTATTAGTTACGCTTTTTAATAATGCGAATTTAATTTGTGTACTCTCATCTTGTATTTCAGAATCAGTTTCAATTTCAACATTAGAAGAATCAGTTTCAATTTTATTGTCAATTCTGTTTGTATCTAAACCTATGCATTTAACATTCTCCTCCACAACATCAACTTCAGTATAACCCAGCAAAATTCCCAAATCACCCTTTTTATCCCATTTAGACCTTCTAACTATTTTACTCTCCGAACAAAAATTCTACATCCATATAGACGTAAATATTTAATAGTAGGCTTTCTTCCAAACATTATTTCGTAAGGCGTTTTCTTTTCTATAGCATTTGCTAATGTTCTATTCTTAAGATATGCAGCTTCGCATACTACCTCTGGTCAAAATTTTCGATCTATTTTTGCTTTTTTTAATAAACATCTAGACATGTCCATAATTGATCTATTATATCTTTCTGCTGTACCATTTAATTCTTGTACATAAAGTGGACAGGTATTTATAGTAATACCTTTCTCTCTAGTTACATGATTAATATATGAATTTAAATATTCTTTTCCATTATCGCATCTTAGTTTTTTTATAGTTTTACCAGTCAGATTTTCTATTTCATTTATGTATTCTACAAAGCAATTATAAACCTGATCTTTTGATTTAATGGTATACACCTTAGCCATCTTACTATAATCATCAATAAATATCACAAAATATTTTTCACCATTAAATCCCGTGGTGGTATGAGGACCATTCAAATAAGTGTGAACTATTTCTAAAATTTCTTTTGCTTTACTTCTGTTGTTGTCAAAAGGTATGCAAATTATGCATCTTATTTTCAATAAAAGTTTTGCATTTCATATACTCGGTTTCTAAATGTTCAGGTATGCCATCTGATAATTGGCTTTTACACAAAGTTGCTAAATCAGAAAAATTTACATGATCCAGAATATGATGCCATTTATCCACTACAAAAGATCACTTCCATCTCTTAACGTAGGAGAAATTTTGGATCAAACCTATTCCTTTTTCTTCTATTTATTACGAAACAGATTTTTCAGCTCTAACATTAATAAAAACTAAACAGCAAATCGTATTTCTGTAACCCTAATCTAGATCTTCATTATAAGATCTTGTTCTATCGCAGTACCATCGGAAATGAATTTGGGGAGGAAGTAAAAATACGTTAGATGGAGTTTTTTGATCGCAAAAATTTTTAAATTTTTTTAGAAGTAAAAATAATCACCATGGAACTAAAACGCATACGGTTAATCTTTCTATGTGCTTATATTTGAAGTGAAATAAATCATTACAATTTATTGGATTTTAACTACATGTAGAAACAACGTTTCCATATTTAAAATGTAAAATCAAGGATTATTTCATATTGACAAACAATGTAAGATAGTTTTTTTTAAATTAAAAAACTAATTTAGAAAAATAATATTACAGTTTTAACGTTAAACAAAACGTAATTTTTTAGATTATCCATATTTACCAACAATTTTTAATATTGAATACAGGTCTCACAATAGAAAGGCTAAATAGCCTGAATGTCTGTACACATTTGTAACCGTGTAGGATAATTTTTTAATATATATAATTTCGTTACAATTGAGTACACCCCAATCAAAATCTTTGTACACATCACTTTTATTGCCAGAACAGACATTGATATACGTTATCACAGTTTTCGCACCTTCCTTTTGCACATTAGGCTATTTTATGAAATTACAAATCAAGCTATAAATCGAAATGTGTAAAGGAACTACGAATTAATGGCACCTAAAGGGGTAAATTTTATTTAAAATTTTAAACAATTTTTTTAAATATCAATCATAATACTTAACTTATATACAATTCAATTCAGATTAAATTACTTACTTTAACATTATCTATTAGTTTTTTTTGAAGACGTACTATATTTAAATGCCATATAATAATTACTTTTGAGTCTTATTAATTTTCTATAACATCCGTGTGTATATCATATTAAAAATAAGCAAATCTAACTATTTTATAAATACTTCTTGAATCTTCAACATCTCTCTATATACATATACAATCATCATCTTTCAATAAATAAATCTATATCCGGTATCGAACAGTGCGTAAAATTTATACTTTCTCTAACATAGGCAACTTCAGTATTTCGGGAACATCTATATCTTCAAGACAAATTGATGAAGGATTAAATGGAAACTTAACGCAAAATGAATGCTTCACATCCATTAATAAATTCTAAAACAGAAATAAAACATTAAGAATAATTTGTACATGATAAATATAGTAAAATATAGTAGTGTTTAATATATCAATAGATAGTTATAGATGATAGTTCTAGTTTTAATTGTTATTCAGCGCTGGATTGTTGTATATTTTTAGTGAATTAAAACTAGAACTAGCTCTAAATGAGGATATCTCGCTCGACGACATGTTTATGAAAAACTTTATTCAAAATGATTAAAATATTCTCATTTTGGAAACGCTCGTTTTGGTACATCAGTATTTATAATAAATCATTTTGATGATAGAGTCAGTCACAAAAATCTATACAACACCCTCATAGAACTAGTAACAAATCTGGTAATCGTACAACCTCCTTCTAAGTATTGCACCTGCATAGGTGCAAAATTTTATAACATTATTCCCAAATCTATAAGAGATTCCAGTAGTTTCAACATTTTTTTTTTTCAGCGATTATATTGAAATAAATAAAGATCTTTTCATCCATACATACTTCTCTAATTCCAGCGGCCCCGGAAACTTCACTGCTTTTGTAATCTTGTATTCATGTCATTCAATTTTTGTTTTCTTTATTATATTATAATTATTGGTGCATCACAGACGTAATTACACGTCTATAGCACCTATCAAAGAGTAAGTACTACATTTTGAAGTTTATACAAGGTATAGAATTACATTTATTTTTGATAATGTATCTCCATTGCACTTTTGTTGTGCTTTGATTTAAATAAAGTTTTTAAATAAAATCGCTTCACGAAGAATTAAAAAGGAGAAGCAAAGAAATTGTTTAAAATCCGTTTTGGCCCATCGATCGAAACAATATGAAATCAATTGTTAGCACGAAAACAAGAATGGGCGCGCGTATACAGTGTGTCCCCGGATTGTGTCCCCGTAAGGTATAATTGACGATAAATTTTTGAATTCAAATTCCATCTTTAGCAATTAAAGTCTGGATGTCATAAAACGAAATATAACCAAGTTTTACGTCAAATATCCTCAAAGTACCAAAGTTAACGCAAGAAGTTTGTTAACCGTTTAAGTTAATCTATCTAATTTCGTCTAAGTTAATTTTATCTTAATGGATTTAAGTCTAAATCCATTAAGATAAAATGTTTGTTATGTTAAATTATAGCGATATGCCGAATTTTATTAATTTAGCATATAAAAGAAAAAATGAGCTTTTTCTTGAAAACTTTTTTCTAATATTCCGTTTTACAATAAAAACAAATGATCTGAGTTTTACATCACAACATAAAATATTTATAGTGCAGTGCTATGGATTACNCAGAAATAAAACATTAAGAATAATTTGTACATGATAAATATAGTAGTATTTAATATATCAATAGATAGTTATAGATGATAGTTCTAGTTTAATTGTTATTCAGCGCTGGATTGTTGTATATTTTTAGTGAACTAAAACTAGAACTAACTCTAGATGAGGATATCTCGCTCGACGAGATTGTGTTTATGAAAAACTTTATTCAAAATGATTAAAATATTCTCATTTTGGAAACGCTCGTTTTGGTACATCAGTATTTATAATAAATCATTTTGCTGATAGAGTCACTCACAAAAATCTATACAACACCTCATTCAACCTCCTTCTAAGTATTACACCTACATAGGTGCAAAATTTTATAACATTATTCCTAAATCTATAAGAGATTCCAGTAGTTTCAACATTTTTTTTTCAGCGATTATATTGAAATAAATAAAGATCTTTTCATCCATACATACTCCTCTAATTCCAGCTAGCGGCCCCGGAGACTTCACTGCTTTTGTAATCTTGTATTCATGTCATTTAATTTTTGTTTTCTTTATTATATTATAATTATTGGTGCATCACAGACGTAATTACACGTCTATCGCACCTATCAAAGAGTAAGTATTACATTTTGAAGTTTATACAAGGTATAGAATTACATTTATTTTTGATTATGTATCTCAATTGCACTTTTGTTGTGCTTTTATTTAAATAAAGTTTTTAAAATCGCTTCACGAAGAATTAAAAAGGAGAAGCGAAGAAATCGTTCAATTAAAATCCGTTTTGGCCCATCGATCGAAACAATATGAAATCAATTGTTAGCACGAAAACAAGAATGGGCGAGTACATAAACGAAGATGGCGAATTTGCTTTGGCATACGAAACTCAGAAGACAATAAATAAACAATTAGAGTTGGAATTGCAAGATGAACAAGCGAAAAATAGGGCGCACGAAAGGGAGTGTAAGGTGGTAATCGAAAAGTTAAGGGAGGATGACGAAAGGCAATAATATCATCAAATTGCTGAAACAATAAGAAAAGAAAAGAGGTCCAAAAAAGAAGACATTCGGGTTTAGTTCGCAATCGACGAAAGTGTTTTCAGACGCACGACTAAATCCGAATCTTTCTAGCGCTGACGTCACGAACGGTCCTTCAACTGTGCACCTGTTCCCAAAATATAGCAATTCTTTTAGATTCTACCGTCCTTAGTATAAACATAAAGCCACATAGACTGAACGCAATGGTGTGGATAGCTAGATTTTTTTAACAGTTTAACAGCATAGTGCACTTACATCTTGTTCTTGATTATCGCCTCGTTCCAATAATTTTTCTTGCACTTTAGCGATAAATGATTTCGGAACTCTTTGTTCAAATTCATCCACAGGAGTATACAAGGTCAATATTTTACAAATTTGCGATTTTGTTAACGTGCTACACATTTCACAAACGCTTCCGACGTCGTCATCAGTTTTTCGAGCTTGTAATAAATGTGATGCTTGAACAATTGGTTGAAGAGTACTTTTTATAGCTTGCTCCTAAAAAAATTGAAAAAAAAATTACAAAAATAATTAATTATAAATAATTTAACTTACATCCATATTTTTCTCCTTAGTCCATAATTCAAAATAAGATAAATTATGTCTAATGTTGTATCCTTTAGACCAGTGGCAAAGTTCTTTGCGGAGTAATAAATTATTTAAGCTGGATGCGCAAATAAAATAGAAAATTTGTTTGAAAATCTGCGATATGACCTCATTGTCGACCCCGTAAAATGTTAAGACTTTATGTTGATTAGATAATTCTTGCAATAAAGCGGTTGTTGGTTTTTGACTTCCCGCGGGACTTTCCAAGTTAAAACTACTGGTTCTTCTGCTGAATCCGGATGGCTTAGTACCGCTCATCCCACGGATTTCTTCGTGCTCCAAAATCGCTGGTACAATTAGCGGTTGAATTTTCTCTTCCAACACTCTCACAGTTGCTGAAATAAATTCATTTTTTTAATGATAACTGTTAAATTAAATTATTTTATGTTACCTTGATAAATCCAAACCGCCAAATCTGAATAAACCTGCCTATACTCGGATAAATCAAAATTACGCAAACACTGCTCGTTTTGTTTAGGAGTGTTGAATTTTTGAAAACCTACATCTCCACTAAATTGTTTCATACAATGTAATAATCTGTAAAAAAATAAAATTTTTATCAAATCTAATGAAACTACTTTTAAACATACACTAAAGTATTTGAAAGCCAAAGCGAAACAGTTTCCAAGTCTTCTTTGCGTTTCCTCACAACTTTTTTAATGGAATTCATGAAATTGGATAGAAGAGATTGGACTTTATCTTCATCATTAATAAAATCAGTGTGGCGGACACACATAAAAACTATATACGCTGGTAATCCTGGAAGTAATGTCACTGCTGTTCTTGGATTTAAATCTAAAAAGTAATTAAGATTTTCAAATTTTTGAAATATGTTTTGATTTAATTTACTAACCAACAACTAAGTGACGTATCATGATAGATTCATCAGCAGATTTATAAGAAAACATCCCCAAATAATCCCTTTCTTTCTTTCTAAGCGTAGGTAAAGCTCTTGAATGTTTTGCGCTATAAAATATATCATCATTCTTATTTACATCTGTTGTAATCGTTTCATCCAAATCAATTCCACTTTCTTTTAACTTTCTAATCAACATCTTCAACTGCTTCTTTTGTTTTCTTATTGTTTCGGCAGTTTGATCGTACTTATCTTGGAGTTCTAAATTTTCTTTAGTTAATCTAGAAACTTCGTGTTGCATGTAAGCTTCGCTCTTAGTTTGCGGGGTAGTTAGATGTTCCGATAATAATCTTTGTTGCCTTTCGTTATCCTCCCTTAACTTTTCAATTTCAACCTTATACTCCCTTTCGTGCGCCCTATTTTTCGCTTGTTCATCTTGCAATTCTAACTCTAATTGTTTATTTATTGTCTTCTGAGTTTCGTATGCCAACGCAAGTTCGCCATCTTCGTTTATGTACTCGCCCATTCTTGTTTTTGTGCTAACAATTGATTTCATATTACTAGTTTGATCGGCCAAAACGGATTTTAATTGAACGATTTCTTCGCTTCTCCTTTCTAATTCTTCGTGAAGCGATTGGTTTTGTTCTTGCATTTTTTTCTCGCCGTTACCTTCCGAAATGCTTGTTTGCAATTCGTATAAAGCCGTTTTTAGGTTTGAATTCATTAATTCCAATTCGGATATTTTTATCGAATCTCTGACAGCGTTTTCAGCCTTTTCGACACGAGGTGACATATCGAGATCATCTAATCGTTTTTGGAGGCGTGATTTTTCACGTTCAACTTCTGAAAGTTTGTGTTGTAGTTTTAATACTAACGAAATGTCTAATGTAGTGCCGTTTTCGAGATTAGAGTCGGTTGTTCCGTTGGATGTGGTTTCGCCTGAGTTTATGCCGCTTGATGTTTTTAATGATCCATAACTTTGAATTGAATTATTATCGTCTGGTAATTCGCTTATTGGTAAACTTTCGTCGACTTGTGATATAGAACTAACATCGCTGGTGTTTCGCATATGTCTTCCTTGGCGATTTTGTTCGCTTAATTGTCGTTGAAGATCTTCGCAATGTTGTTCTAAACCGTGGTATTCTTGCAATAATTTTTGATAGGCATGACGATCGTTATCTTGTTCGTTAAGGATTAATAGTTTTTCGTGTTCTATTTTTTCTTTCGCTGTTTCTTCTTTTTCATAACGTTTAACAATTTCGTTCATTTCGTCCAATTCAGCGCGAACTTTATTCATTTCCTCATTCCATCGGTTGTTTTGTTCATCCATATCGGATTTGTATTTTTCCTGTTCGTTTAATATATCCATTTTTTCATCCCTTTCAACTTTTAGCGTTTCTTCTAATTCCATTATTTTCCTATCTCTTTCCATAAGGAGATTATTGAGGTTTTTAATTTCCGTTTCGAGGGATCTATACGAAGTTAATTTCGATTTTAAGTCAACCACTTCGGTTTCTTTTTTCCTCAACTCGGAATTGTTTTTATTTAATTCGTCAACTTTTTGTTGTAAACTGATAATCTTATTTTCAAGGCCTTTATTTAATGTTTTAACATGTTCGATGGATCTTGCTTCTATTTTCATCTTCTTGTAAAGGCGTCTTGCCAAATAGCGTCGAATTGCCGATTGGCAAATAACAATCTTTCGAATTTGTTCTGCATACCATCTTCTGGCCAACCATCCACGAACGTATTTCTGAATAATTGTTGCTTTTGCATTGTATTTGAGCCGTTTGAAGTGCAGCCTTGCCAAATATCCTCTTCCGTATCGTTGAATTCCTTCGATTGTCTTTTTAATCTTCTGGTATTTAGTTTGTTTGAGCCAACGGCGAATGTGTTTTTGAATAACAGTGGCCGCTCTATTTCTACGTAATTCTTGAGCATGTCTTCGAGCGAGATAACCTCTAGCATAACGTTGCAATCCATGAATAGCTTTTTTCATTGCAAGATATTTCTTCCTACATAAATACGCCCTAACCGTACTTTGCATGATAATACAACATTTCATTAATTTATCAGATCGTAATTTTTCTAAATAGGCCACTTGGCCTGCTCTAAAAAATATTTTAGTTTTTCCAAAACGGAATTTTTCTTTGTCTTTAATGTGCTGTTCTAAGATATTACAACAAGTTTTCTGCATATTATTTCTATTAATGTCTTTAAATTTACATAATACCCTGTATCTATAAAAGAAGTCGATGTACGACCAACGACTTGGAAATCCGGCTGCCGATAATCTAATAGTTTCTAACACACCACAAGCTCTTAATTGCTGAACAGCTCTTTGAGGATTATATTCGAATGGGGTTTTTGTATCGTTTGGTTTTATACATCTTACATAGTGCGGTGTTGTAGCGTTTAAAGTACTCATTAATAAATTTAAGGAATCACGAAATTGCGAACCAACAGATTTCTTGTGACTCTTGTGGATAACTTGTTGAGGTTTTGCAGAAACAACTTTTAATTTAGCCGCTCCGCTCGGTTTTATTTTCACTTCGTTAAATAATTTTCTTACTAAAGCATTTTTACTATCTTTGAGCACCGATATATGTTCTTCCATCACAGTATCGCGATTTTTTTCTAAGAAGCCATTACTCTCGTACTGTACTCTATCAGCAAAATGATTTATTATAAATGCTGATGTACCAAAACGAGCCTTTCCAAAATGAGAATATTTCAAACATTTTGAATAAAGTTTTTCTGTCCAAGAACGATCTGAACCTTTTGGCATCTAAAACAAATGTATTACAAAAACTCTTAATTGATACAATTTATTTTGATAACTCCTGAAAAAAGCTAGATATGTCAATGGGTAATAGCTTAAAAGAAAGCTCATATAATAAAAATTTCAACGCGATATGACTCGTTATGTTCGAATTTTTCGATATCTATCAAATCGGGTTACTGAAAAATGACATAATTCATCAAAACACCTTTAAACTTAACTTTATATATCTTTTGGAGGAATTGAGATATTACCTTAGGTGATATCTTAAAAGAAAGCTTAAATAATAAGGAATTAGATGTAATATAGCTCATTTTAATACTATGTATAAAACGGTTGTTATCGAGTTATGTGGTACAGCTTCAAATATTTAAGGGGAAAATCAAATTTTATTTTATATCCTCAACAGATTGAGATATTTTTATGCTTAATATCATAAATTATCATAATTTATCACGTTTTTCGTTTTAGCTTAAAACCAGGAAAATCTTAATTGATACAATTTTTTTGATAACTCTTAAAAAAATCTAGATATGTCAATGGGTGATATCTTAAAAGAAAGCTCATTTATTAAGAATTTTAACGCGATATGACTCGTTACGTTCAAATTTTTTGATATCTATCAAATCGGGTTACTCAAAAATGACATAATTCATCAAAACAGCTTTAAACTTAACTTTATATATCTTTTGAAGGAATTGAGATATTACCGCAGGTGATATCTTAAAAGAAAGCTTAAATAATAAGGAATTAGATGTGATATAGCTCATTTTAATAAGATGTATAAAATGGTTGTTATCGAGTTATTTGGTACAGCTTCAAATATTTAAGGGGAAAATCAAATTTTATTTTATATCATCTCAACAGATTGAGATATTTTTATGCTTTATATCATAAATTGAAGCTTAATTAATAACGATTCGAATGTGATATATTTCGCTTTAATCTACCGCATAGATTGTTTCTTATCACGTTTTTCGTTTTAGCTTAAAATAAGGAAAATCTTAATTGATACAATTTTTTTGATAACTCTTGAAAAAATGTAGATATGTCAATGGGTGATACCTTAAAAGAAAGCTCATTTAATAAGAATTTCAACACGATATAACTCGTTACGTTCGAATTTTTCGATATCTATCAAATCGGGTTACTCAAAAATGACATAATTCATCAAAACACCTATAAACTTAACTTTATACATCTTTTGGAGGAATTGAGATATTACCTTAGGTGATATCTTAAAAGAAAGCTTAAATAATAAGGAATTAGATGTGATATAGCTCATTTTAATACTATGTATAAAACGGTTGTTATCGAGTTATTAGGTACAGCTTCAAATATTTAAGGGCAAAATCAAATTTTGTTTTATATCATCCGAACGGATTGAGATATTTTTATGCTTTATATCATGAATTGAAGCTTAATTAATAACGATTCGAATGTGATATGTTTCGCTTTAATCTACCGCATAGATCGTTTCTTATCACATTTTTCGTTTTAGTTTAAAATAGGGAAAATCTTAATTGATACAATTTTTTTGATAACTCTTGAAAAAATCTACATATGTCAATGGGTGATATCTTAAAAGAAAGCTCATTTAATGAGAATTTTAACGCGATATGACTCGTTACGTTCGATTTTTTCGATATCTATCAAATCGGGTTACTCAAAAATGACATAATTCATCAAAACACCTTTAAACTTAACTTTATATATCTTTTGTAGGAATTGAGATATTACCTTAGGTGATATCTTAAAAGAAAGCTTAAATAATAAGGAATTAGATGTGATATAGCTCATTCTAATGCTATGTTTAAAACGGTTGTTATCGAGTTATTTGGTACAGCTTCAAATATTTAAGTGGAGAATCAAATTTTGTTTTATATCATCTCAACAGATTGAGATATTTTTATGCTTAATATCATAAATTGAAGCTTAACTAATAACGATTCGAATGCGATATGTTTCGCTTTAATCTAATACATAGATCGTTTCTTATCACGTTTTTCGTTTTAACTTAAAATAAGGAAAATCTTAATTCATACCATTTTTTTGAAAACTCTTGAAAAAATCTAGATATGTCAACGGATGATATCTTAAAAGAAAGCTCATTTAATAAGAATTTGAACGCGATATGACTCGTTACGTTCGAATTTTTCGATATCTATCAAATCGGGTTACTCAAAAATGACATAATTGATCAAAACATCTTTAAACTTAACTTTATATATCTTTTGGAGGAATTGAGATATTACCTTAGGTGATATCTTAAAAGAAAGCTTAAATAACAAGGAATTAGATGTGATATAGCTCATTTTAATACTATGTATAAAACGGTTGTTATCGAGTTATTTGGTACAGCTTCAAATATTTAAGGGGAAAATCAAATTTTATTTTATATCATCTCAACAGATTGAGATATTTTTATGCTTTATATCATAAATTGAAGCTTAATTAATAACGATTCGAATGTGATATGTTTCGCTTTAATCTACCGCATAGATAGTTTCATATCACGTTTTTTGTTTTAGCTTAAAATAAGGAAAATCTTAATTGATACAATTTTTTTGATAACTCTTGAAAAAATCTAGATATGTCAATGGGTGATAGCACTGATAGCTTAAAAGAAAGCTCATTTAATAAAAATTTCAACGCGATATGACTCGTTACGTTCGATTGTTTCGATATTTATCAAATCGAGTTACTCAAAAATGACATAATTCATCAAAACATCTTTAAACTTAACTTATACATCTTTTGGAGGAATTGAGATATTACCTTAGGTGATATCTTAAAAGAAAGCTTAAATAATAAGGAACTAGATGTGATATGGGTCACTTTAATACTATGTATAAAACGGTTGTTATCGAGTTATGTGGTATAGCTTCAAATATTTAAGGGGAAAATTAAATTTTATTTTATATCATCTCAACAGATTGAGATATTTTTATGCTTTATATCATAAATTAAAGCTTAATTAATAACGATTCGAATGTGATATGTTTCGCTTTAATCTACCGCATAGATCGTTTCTTATCACGTATTTCGTTTTAGCTTAAAATAAGGAAAATCTTAATTGGTACAATTTTTTTGATAACTCTTGAAAAAATCTAGATATGTCAATGGGTGATATCTTAAAAGAAAGCTCATTTAATGAGAATTTTAACGCGATATGACTCGTTACGTTCGAATTTTTCGATATGTATCAAATCGGGTTACTCAAAAATGACATAATTCATCAAAACACCTTTAACCTTAACTTTATATATCTTTTGGAAGAATTGAGATATTACCTTAGGTGATATCTTAAAAGAAAGCTTAAATAATAAGGAATTAAATGTGATATAGCTCATTTTAATAAGATGTATAAAATGGTTGTTATCGAGTTATTTGGTACAGCTTCAAATATTTAAGGGGAAAATCAAATTTTATTTTATATCATCTCAATAGATTGAGATATTTTTATGCTTTATATCAAAAATTGAAGCTTAATTAATAACGATTCGAATATGATATGTTTCGCTTTAATCTACCGCATAGATCGTTTCTTATCACGTTTTTCGTTTTAGCTTAAAATAAGGAATATCTTAATTGGTACAATTATTTTGATAACTCTTGAAAAAATCTAGATATGTCAATGGGTGATATCTTAAAAGAAAGCTCATTTAATAAGAATTTTAACGCGATATGACTCGCCACGTTCGAATTTTTCGATATCTATCAAATCGGGTTACTCAAAAATCACATAATTCATCAAAACAGCTTTAAACTTAACTTTATATATCTTTTGGAGGAATTGAGATATTACCTTAGGTGATCTTGCATTTTTTGCTGACGATGTAGATTACAATGTTACGACATCGTGGAACTTAGGAATGAACTTGTAAACTTCGGATCACTTCAGGATGTTTTAGGTTCAGTCGAATTTCATATTATAGCAAGACTCAAATGTGCGAAAGGGGAGAAGACAAATAAACAATGGACCAGAGATGAAGAGGAAATGTGGGAAGATGAGATCTATTGGTGGTAGATACTAGCCGAGGGAAGGAAGGTAATGAAATTTTGAGAGCGAGAAAACAGCATAATGATAGGAAGTGATAGGATGAAAATTAGGCATAATGGGAATCATTCAAGTGTTACTGCCATGAACAAATTATTAAATATTGTAAATCGAATAACAACATGGTTTTATTCAAACCGATATCTTAACCTTACTTGAAGTTAATTAATAACGGCGTTTGATAAAATCCTACAATTTGTATTAAAATACTTTTACTAACTTAACATAATCATTGTTTTGTGTCGCACAATTTTATTTATCTAATGTTTGCAAAGATAAGCTATAATGTCAATCAGAAAGAAAATTGCTAAAATAGTCTACCGCAATAATCTTGAAAACCTGAACTTATAGCGAAACACAAAATATAGGTATAACATTTTACTTACTCTACATTCTTCATCCAATAAATCTAATATTCCTAATTTCGTTTCAATTAAATCTATACACGGTTGATTATCATAATAATCAATCATTTTCCATTCAATTCCCTCCTTAATATACTCTTCTTGTTCCAATTTAAAAACGTGTAAATTAAATTGTTGCTGAAGTTTTTCGTTAGCATAGTTGATACAAAACTGTTCGAAAGAATTAATTTCGAACGTTTCAAATCCGTAAATATCCAAAACCCCAATGAATTTATGTCGGGGAATATCGGATTCTAAGACTTTATTAATTGTCACGACGACCCAATCGAAAAGTTGCGCATAAATGTGTTTAGCCAAAGCATCTCGAGCAATCATCGCTTGTTCCGTGGTCATCGGTTTCATGATGATATCTCGCATGGATACGATTTTTTTCGTGCATAACCAGATTAACATTTCTTCGGATTCGATTTCAAGAAGATCCGAAAATTTTTGCAAATGTTTATCCATATCCTGCAAATTTTAATGGTTACTTTTTTTCATAAAAAACTATTGTTTTCAAATTTACACACGTGAATACAACAACCTTCCTGACTCTGTTCGTTTTCTTGTTCAATAATCGTTTCGGTAAATTTGATATTACCTAAATGCAAAACGGCGGCAAGAATTTTAAACATTTCCTTTTGTTCTTCTTTTGAAAATCCCAACAAGTTTAAAGCGTTCGTTGTTTCATTGTACTCTTTAAAATCGTTTACGCCGTTAATTGATGGACTTTGACCTTGATTTAAATAGTAAAAGTGGTTTGGTTCAGCTAAAAAATTTTATCACAATGTTAATGATAACTAAAAAAAGTGATATTTTATTTTACCTAAATTTAAATATGGTAATTCTTTTCTTGCGGCACATAATTGATAAAATATGTGATAATTTCGCTCGTCTGGAGCTTGGAAGACTACACGAGACTTCTCCAACAAATAAGTCCGCATTGAAGCTCCGCTAATGTGGAATTGTTTATTGAATTGAAGTTCGATAAACTTACCAAATCTTGAACTGTTATCATTTCTAGTAGTTTTAGCATTACCTATAGCCTTAAAAAAAAGTTTCAGTTGTATATTTATCATTTGTAATGTTTTAGTTTTATTGTTTGTGTCTAGACTGAAAGAGGCAAGTAAAAGAATTTTGCATTATAAAATTGTCTTTGTTTATATTTTAGGATAACCAGTTAATATAAAAATTATCATTTATGACACTTCTCTGGAATTTGCATAACTAATTGTGTAACTAATCCAGTAATAGGAGATCGTGAATTCATCTCCTTGTTTTAGGCGGCTTTTCAACAATAGAAAGAATCCGCTTATTTGCTCGCCAATGACGGACTCACATGAAAGTGTAATCCTCTTTATGCTCCTCACGTTTCATTTTTAGGACTACTGCTTCACAAAGTATGTTCCATCCTTAGGATTAACCTGAATTTAACAAATTACAACAATAAAAACTTACTATCCCTAAAATAATTTAAATTTAGGACAACTGATTTACTATTTGTTTTGCTAGTCATAAATATTATGCAATTTCGCATAATGAAAGTGCCATCTCTTTCAATTTGAACACACCTATTTTATTAATTAGTATTAATTAATTAATTACACGTTATTATTTTACCTCCATAATTGGACTACTTGCAAGAACCTTCTTTTCAATTTGCGTTTCTGTGGCGCTTCCGCCCACTGTAGCAAAATATCTCATAGCGTATTTTGCCGAGACCGTTTTGCCAGCACCACTTTCGCCCGAGACGATGATACTTTGGTCCATTTGTTCTCTTTCCAGTTTGGTATAAGCTTCTTCGGCGACGGCGAAGATGTGCGGATCGAGGTCGCCCATAGCTTGACCTCGATATGCCTGTATGGTATCCGTGCCTACCAACAAAGGGAAAGGGGGAAAGAGTTAAATGCATACCTTCGATAACATTTATAATGGGTTTGGTGAAAGAGAAAGTGTTTCATTTTAAGTTACGTAATCAACACAACTTTTTGGTTTTCGAGTAAATCTTTACAGGTTATTGGTCAATGCTCTGTTTATTAAAATTTGTAACTGTATCAGGATGACGAGTTTTTGTTAAAATTCGTCGTCGATAGCAGCGCGAGTTCTTTGTACTCGAAACTGTTTTCGTTTCCACGAATCAACATTTTGACCTTAACATTATACACCGTTACGGTACTCTTTGGGAAGTAAACCTCTTTCATTCTTTTGATACCATTTTAATTTACTAATTTTATTAAGAAAAAGAATTTTTTTGAGTACTTTTCTAATTCATTTCCTGTCTTGGCGGATAAAGTCTTTATTTCTAATCGAGTTTCTCACAAAAGAACGACAACGAGACCGCGAAGAAAAAAGGGTAGAAAGTTGTTGGGTTCAATCGTCTGACATATTCTCTCATAGGACCTAGAGGCCAGATAGTAGAAAGACAAGACATTCACTTGCACAATCGTGAGATCAGCTGAGCGGAGTTGATGTGAACTTTACTTTCAGGGAATTGGGTTGGTCGCCTTCAAACTCGAAAGTAAATTACCTACTTAAAATACTCTTAGAAAATCGAACTCTTTTTTTTGAAACCTTTTATAAAAAGTTTACTAGTTGATGGTATTTTAATTCTTTGTGATAAAAATCAATGGTAAATAAATATAAGTTTCTTAATAAAGTACAATTGTGTTAAGAAAGAAAATCTAAAAAATTTAAATTCACCGCTATGCAGTTCAAATACAATCTAAATTTCATAGTTTAGTTAAATCAATACGGGGGCGATGTAACTGAATGACCTATTTTCAACGAAACCACCAATTTACAACACGATCCATTCTTTTCATTCTTCACCTCAAAATTTTCGAATAAACTCACCGTATATTGGAAGATCATCATAAGGATTGATAGCGACCAGGACAATTCCACAATAGGTGTAAATGTCTTTTTGCTGACAAAACCTGACCTGGAGGTTATAAAGGACAGCCGGCTCATGGAGGTACGACAACGAGGTGAGGTCGTTCTCTCCGATCAGAATCGGAGGATTCCTGAGGAAGGGTAAATTGGCCTCCGATTTCACGGCGAGCGTCTTCACCTCGCCGCCTTCTGTCTGCACTCGGAGGGCTGTCTTATCTGGAGTGTAATTTTCTAGCAGTTCTGCACCTTCCCATACTAGCTCCTGATGTGCTATCCATACTCTTGCACCCTAATAAAAAGAAAATAAAAATTAATATCAAAAAAATAATTGTTAATTTTTGTTTTTCTGAATCTAATACAAATATGTTGTTTCAGCTGGTTTTTATCGTCACGAATCATTTGATAGATATAATGGAAAAATAAGATGAGCGTGAAGGTTATAATTATATAAAACACATGGTTCTATTTAAGAAGTGGTTGTGGATATTTATCGTAATTGAAATTTCAAATAAATTAAGCTTGACAATACTTATTATAGAATTTATTTACTCCTTAACTACTCTTTCGATCAAATATACCCGAAGTGCGCAGTATATGTGGGATGGGCATCAAGTTATGTCGTGCGTGTAATGCATACTACAGGATTTGAGTTTAGTTGACACCATATAAGTAGTCACCCTTAACTAGAGTAGTGTAGTATTCACTTATGCAAAAACACAGTTTTAAACATGAATTATGTTGTCTCCCGATTTAATCCACGACATATTGAGACTAATTTATGATAAAAAAATCGGGTCATTGCAGTTTGTTTCTAATTAATTTAATCAGGGTACTTCTTATAACTAGCTGGTTACTTTCAAGTGGGTATGAAAGTCCTACTTTCTCCTTGTTGGTACTGAAATCAATACCGTTATTTAGTATTTCGTAATAACAATGATAGGCATAAAATATAGATATCAAACAGGATAAGCACATTTCAATCTTGAATATACATATAAAGGTTATGTGCAATTTTTTAGAAACTAGCTTTCGTTAAATAAGAAATAATTCCACTATTAGTAATATATAAGAAATTTGATAATTGAATACACAATAATTGCAAACACCATAATAATGGATATAGCCCCGACGAAATGGTGTAAAAATATAAAATGAAGGAGGCTTGATGAGATGATGAACAATACTACTGCATTTCTTCTAAAACCTTGCTTATAATATCAGGACTTAACTTTTTATCTAAGTAACTTTGACAACCTTACACCTATCTAGAAGCTTCGTAGCTGTAATTGTAATATTTATTAAAATCTTTACGAAAATAAAAACAATCCTTTACTAATAAGGAAGGTTCCAGCACCACCAATCGTAAGTTTGTTGGAATAATTATGTAATAACAATAAGACATGTGTCGCCAATAAAAAAAAACGTAATATAAAAGGATGATACACATAAATAATATTGCTGTGGTGTGTAATCACTTAATCAATAGTAATATAAACATAAAGCTAATACGAGAGGAACGCAATAAACGACATCTTCTAATAGATCGAACTAAAGTACGAATATAAATAAACATTATAGCATGTTTAATCTAAAATAACTCAAAAAATTGTGAAAAAAGCTGCCTAGAAAAAGACACTTAGTTGCTTAGAGCTAAAGCTGCAATATTAGATGAATTACGAATAATACAGTAAACGATTCAGTCATCAGTTGCAATACATTTGATAAATACAACCAATCTTATATAGAGGGCTTCCCAAAACTCCCGAGACGGAGCTATAACTTTTGAACGAGTAAAGAAAAAAATTTAAAAATTTGGGGATAAGTAGAACTTCCATGCAATGTGGAGTTTTTTTAGGTGATGACCACCCCTACATTTTTAAATACCAACGCCTGTCGAGTTTCACCTTATTTTAAAGGTAATGAAAAAAGAAACACAACCCCATAAACCAAAACCGAATATCTTAATTCTTTCAAGAATTATGAGGTTATGATTGTTTTCTAAATTTAACTTTTTTAACTACAAAAATGGTGCAAAAACTAACCAAAAAAGAAAAAAGCACTCTTTTAATGATTCGTGGCTTTGGGGATAGAACAAGATCTTACGATGAAGTGCGGCACGTCTTCAATGATTTTTTTCATCAACGACATGTAGTTTTTATGACTCTTTAGTGGTCCCCAAATTTTCAAATTTTTTTCTTCACACGTTCAAAACTTATAGCTCCGTCTCGGGAGTTTTGGGAAGCCCTGTATATAAGATTGGTTGTATTTATCAAATGTTACGTTCGATGATATGATGCAATACTGCGAAAAATCATCAATACATCAGATAGCAAGAAAAATTGGTTTATAACTATGCTGATTGTTGTTCGTTTTTCTTTGCAGAAGCTATAGAAGTTTGTTCCACCTAATCTGCTCTTTCTATACTTGGCAGTTTATCTTTTACATTCATGAAACATACTCGATCAAAAGATGGCACATTCTAGCTTCTTCTTTCATCCCATTTTGTGTTTCCGCTGTGTCTGACGCAGGTTTTGGAAGCAGGAAAAGAGGTACAGCTTACAGGCAGACATCGTACAGAGAAAGCAATGTGCATGAATTAGAATTCGTTATAAACTTTCCTTAAACAAATTATCATGGGAGATAACTCTTCTCTGCACAGCCCACAAAATATTAACATAACTATAATATGTAATTATCAACAAACGTCTCAATCCTCTAGTTGAAGGGATTATTGATAAATATCAGACAGGGTTTAGACTATATCAATATCAGACAATACAAGATACAACGGCAATTGTACGAATACAAGATACAACGGCAATTGTACTAATACAAAACCAATGGGCTGAGACTTTTAACATATCAAGAGGACTAAAACTGGAGAAGGATTGACGCTCATCTGGTGACCATCAAGAGGCAAAAGTAGTCAACTCAGCAAGTATACTCCGAAACGAAGAAACATGCCATAAGGGTCGGATTGGAAAACAATACACAAAAACAAAGATATTAACACAGACAAAAGGAAGCCGGTACATTGCAGTAAACGATCGCATCGGACAGGTTGAGCAATTTGTATACTTGGGGATTTAACTGCGCTTGGATGGAACGGAAAACAAAGGAATTTTTAGAAGAATTACCCTTGCTAGTAGAGCGTACTTTGCATTATCAATACATGAAGGATCAGATATAACAACGAATTGTGTCAACTCCTTGGAAAAGGTCTTCCCGTGAAGTTCATCAGACTTCAAAAGCTGTAATAGGCAGGACAAGCGAACTCTCAACGCTTGCGGGGAAAAGACTGGGAAGATAAAGTGTCGGATTATGTGCGCGGGTTGCTGAAGGTGTGCATGTGGTGAAAAGCATCGGTAATCACAGCAGTAATCAGAGGGGGCTGGAGACCAAGACTGTATTGCCATAAGAAGGAGTAGCCTCGATTATCCTTAATTAAATCTTATCGTAATTGCGATAGTAATACCTAAAGGAACAAGTTTATCTCCCTCTGCTAGTCTAACTTTTTGGCAACGATTTACCACGTAGCCTTGATTGTCCTATCACATCCAGACACGTTTTGGCAACGCCGTCGAAGCCTCTCCTTGAGTATTATCCATTCGTCTCGTTCCCAAAATCTCGTAGTTTTCAATCAAGAATGTACAGAATTGGCAAACGCTTTCAATAAGTGCAGCAGCCCCAAGAAGCTAACTTTCAATAAATATTATCATCTTCTAGTAACCAATGACGATTCCTAAGTCATAACTACCAATATGACAGAAGATCATGTACAAAAATAATGCCCTTTTCGACATCTTGTTATTTTCTGTTGGCATTACTTAACAGGAAGAAATTTGTGGAGTACGGTATCGGTATTTCAAATAAAGAAGATTATGCAAAATGGAAAAGACATAAAATGATGTTTTTTCTAGTTACATAATTATGTTATAAATCTTCCCAAAAAGGTCCACGTCATCAACCACGTCTTGTCCCTCTTTTCTCCATAAGCCTGCAAAAACCGATAGGGTACCTTTTAAATTAGGGTAGATTTCTCACGGAACCCTCTGGCCCATGTGTGACACATGCACACAAAACTCTTTAAAAGTAAATATTAGTTTACGTTTACGTCATATCGATGTCAGTGTTGCACAATGTACTTTTTATCCATTATTCAACCCTTATAATTCCACCAAGAGGTTTTATCGTAACAAAATACACTTTGAGTCACTATTCCTAATCGCATTGAAATCAGTGAGTCACAATTTTAATACGTCTTACGTGAAAATGTAGTACCTATTGATGTGAATTTGGCTTAAATGGATATTAATTTTGAAATGGTCGTGTCTCATTTCTTTATAAGGATTACGAAACGATTTTTAATCCAAAATTAAAGTACCATAACACAACATGATGTAGATTAATTCATACTTTTGAAGAATTTTGTGAAAACGATTAGCAGTGTTTGTTTCTAAAAGGTTAATATCCGGTAATGCCTTGTAGGTCTTCAAGTAACCATGTAAATAGAATAGGTAAATAATGGGAAATGAAAACGGCGGTTGGCCCCCTTCTTCTCTTTCTTCTCCTTCTTCCCAAGATTCACTACACGTGCATTTGTACAGAAAACCTGTTTCACTTCAACGATCGCCGGTTTTCGTTGGTTTTGCGATGAATCAAGTGATTGCGGACACCGTTATTCGGTGGTGAATACCAATTTTCCAGACGAGTAATTTTCTAAAAGGAAATAGTAAACATTTTTGCCGTTTACCGTTTTATAACCCTTTAATGTTCTTATTGTTTCATTGGTAAACCGGAATCATTCATGTAAATTAATTTCTTTTCTACGTAAATTTACTCTGATTTAATTTAATAAATCACTAATAACTAAAACTAGAACTAACACTAGACCTACAACTAGAAACAAGTCTAGTCTTAGTTCTAATGATAGTGTTAGTTCTAAGTCTTCTTTGATTGTTATTCAGCGTTAGATTGTTATATATTTTTCATTAAAATAAAGCTAGAAGTATCACTAGACTTAGTACTTAACACTAGTACTTTTAGTTCAATAAAAATATATAACAATTTAGCATTAGCACTAGAACTAACACTAGACCTTTTACTGTAGATACTTTTTTACCGTTTTTAATTTGTTTTGGTAGTATAATTGCCTTTAAATTTCTGTACATTTGAGATAAAAAGTTTATGATGTAAAAAGATTAAGTTTATTTTACAAATAATTAGTATCATTAATGATTCACCTAAATAATCTCAAGTACATCTGTTATCAGTTTTGACATGTTGATAAGGAAACTTTACGCTATTCATTGCATACTTAAAATTAATTATAGACATTGTTTAGTAAAACCGTAAGGAAATATTAATAGAAATATGAAACGCGTCAACTGTTATAAATCAAAGTGATTACATATAATTCAAAATTGGTTTTGGTAGAGAAAACAATTATATCTTTATCGTTTTATCAATACAAACATATGGAGTAACAATGAAGATAAAACATTAACTTACATATACTTTTAAATTAGTTTTGAGAAAATTTATAATAATATTACGATAAAGTTGATTCTTTAAAAAACAAATTTTTGAATTTAAAAATAAAAAAGTTATTTAAACAGTTCTAAAATAAATTTAAAATTAAAATGAATTTACCTTCACATATAATTCCAAAGTAGTCATTTTTCCTTGTTTGAAAACTTTTTAAATACCCAAAAACAAAAACGAAACGTTGCAAAAACAAAAAAAACGATTATTACGCGACACACATTCTTCAGAAAATAATAAATTTTTTTAAACGCAACATCGTACAGACTCGTTTATTATTATTCGTTCTGATATCTTATCAAATGTTGTGTAGGAGAACACTACAATTTTATTTTAAGAAACGGACTTTTAAATGTATCTCCACGTGAGTTCAGCAGAGGTTTTACCTGCCGGAGTTATAAAGTTATACTGTGCGCCAAATAATGATCCGGTTGGCGCAGGTAGTTTAGAAAAGCATGTGCGAAAATAAAGATTTTTTGGAAAGTTCAACCATCTCATATTGAAAAGCAAAAATTTCATTACACGAAAAAGAATCCCTACACTTCAAGTCATTAAACGTTGAAATAATAATTATAGTTGCTTTCGCTTCATAGATGTCGCTTCTGATTTTAACACGAATTTTCCAAAATTATCTAGTCATTTAATTTATTTAAAGCTCTCCTTATCTATTTTTATTTATCAATATTTATTTCAAATCCAAACACTTATAATTAACTCTAATTGATTTGAATCGGTAGTTTAAAACATTCCACTAGAACACCCATTTAAAATTCCATCTAAACCTTTTAGATAAAGCTCCCTAGGTGCTTGCATGCCCTTAAGCGGCGTTTAAACCGGCCGTTTTGGGATTAGACTTGATGGTAATATCTTCATGTTGAGTTCTCGTTAAAGCCACGAACAAGCAAAACCGGCTACTTCATATTTGTCGGTACGTTTGTGCATTTCTACTCGATTCCTGTTGTACCCTGTCTTGTTTAAGTGGTAGTTCGGTTGCAATAATTGGTACCGAAAATGGAGAGAAGTGGTGAAACGAACTACTACGTAGTGCGTAAAGTTTAGGTGTGCTTTAAAAGGTACCAGGTTCGGTCGTTAAAACGAATTTATCTTTGCGAATTTACCGAGTTGTAACCGTGAGCTATTTGGATACGTGTTGTGAATGGAATTCTTGAGGGTATGCAAAGACATGTCAATTTAATGTTAAAGAAAAATAATTCTTTGTTAGGTTTTAATTGCAAAAATTTTTAAATGTTGTGTACAAAAGCTGTTTAATTATTTATGGTTTGGATATGAATGGTGACATACTTTTGCTGAACCAATACTAAACATTTCATTCTTTTGGGTTTTCTTACTAGATTAGAATTGTCAAAGAGAGATGATCGGAGTTGTGGCAGTACCAGTTATATCTTGATTTTATTGGCACAATTCTAAAGTTGAATACCATGCGTGCAAACGGGTTCTGTATCTGCTTGTAAATGAGCAGGTATATGTGGCCAAGTTGGAGATGATTTATATTACATTGGTTCTGTTTGTTAGTAATGTTGATATGATCAGATTTCTTTTTATTCAAGTTAATACGTCAATCATTAGTCCAAGTAATCTACAAATATTTGTAATTTTCTGCTACCTTGCTCATAGTGTTTTTTAATAATCACTGGTAGTAAGATTGGTTTCTTCTTCTTCCTCAGCGTGCATTCATCCACTACTGGATATAGGCCTCTTTCAAATGTCTCCATTTATTTCTGTTGTATTCTAATCCATTCTTTCGATCCTCCTCTTTTGCGATCTTCCTACACCTCTTCTAGTTTCTCGTGGTCTTCAAAAGGTCTTTGTGTACATTTGTCAGTGTTTTCTTTTGCCACATCCCGACTCAATGCCACGGAAGCCTCGCTACTCAAATCATCACATCTGTCATCTCGTGTTCTTCTGCGATTATCGCTATTTCGAATATTGTTGAATTGCTCGTTCCATCGCTCTTTGGGTTATACTAAGTTGTTCTGCAGTTTTTCTTGTCAAGGCCAAAGTTTAAAGTCCATATGTAGTCACTGACAATATGCAGCTATCATATACCTTCCGTTTTAGGCTTCTCGAAATTTTTTTATTTTCCATTATAAAACTGAATTTTCTGATGATTCTTGGCCAATTTTAATAGTACATTAAACAGTTTTAAACCAAGTTTTTTTCTAAGTTAATCATGTTTTGAAATATTAATTGAAAGGTTAAGTAAATCGTATTTAAATTCAAATTTTCAAATTATGTGTGTTTTAAAACATGTTATAAATCGTAAGATTTTGGTTGATACATTTCTTTTATACTAATAAATCACTCTGATATTCAAGAAACTGTTTTGCATAGTTGGAATATTCATTGAGTTATTAACTTTATGAAGTAGTTCTCGACAGAAATAATACGAGGAATTTAAATAAATCCTAAAACAAGTTCTATTTATTCCTAATTGCATTCTATGTTGTCACTTGATGCAATTAAAATATAGTTCACGTGGTTTTCAATTGGTTAAAATTACCGTTATTGACTTAAATCTTACCTTAACAGTTGGAATCTGCCCTAAAAACTTTCTTGTTGTTATGTCAAAAAGTTCACGCCACATATCACATGAATGTCACTTCTGCCACCAAAGCTTTTACATCAGTTCTATATCAAAAATATTGATTAATAATAATATACATTTTTAAATTCAGTTTTGCAATGAATTAGTTACGAATAGGAGTGTGTAAATAAATTACACCAATTTAATTGCGTTAACATATTGTATTTGCATTATAAATTAAGGTGGAGGTAGTTTCCTGTAGGAGACGAATCAATCAGTTCAACTAGGCGATAGAACAAGCTTTTCCAATATACGACTAATTGTTTTCCGATCGATTCATTACCCAGATTAAATTCTCGAGTGAGACAGAGGCAAATGAACTCTCCGAGGGAACTTATACGCGTAGGTGACGTAAGACTAATCGATGAGACTTTTTTTTACGCGGTGCTTTTACTCCACGTGACGTTTTAATCGTTAACGTGTCGACTTGAGGTGAGTTGAGTATAATACAATGACGAATTTTCGTTTTGGGGTTGTTGACTTTTGTCGACTACAAAGCGACTTGTCGTGTCGATTGGGAGCTTTGTGGACTTGAAATGTAAAAAGAATGAAGTAGGTATTCATTCATGACACAATTGTTCAAAATTGTACTACTCTTTGTTGTAATAAATTTAAGTATAGGAAAATGTGTTGTATATTTTATTAATCTAATCTTTATAATATGTTGGTTTCTTAACATTATCTGAGAAAAAATGTCATTGTTATTAAATTTACCTTTCATATACAGTAAATGGCGCAGATTATTCATCATTTTCAAATATCAATTAAACAATATTCTTCAATTTCCATTGTTTAAACAGTCCAAGGTCTTCCAGATCCATTCCCAAAATTTTCAAAATTTCCTTTGTCTCGTAAATGTTGGTGGATTTCCTGAAATAATCGTGCAAAAGGAAGTCGTCGATTTGGATAAGCTTGCGCGTAAAGTCGACGTGCTTCAAATGGATCTCCATTCGCACGACCATACATAAAATGCATATCAGCTAATTCTGCATTGCTATACATTGATAAGACACAATAATTTTAAACAAATCAAAATTTTAAGTTGAAATACAAATTTATGACAACTATGACATTACAGCTTTTTTAATTTTACATTGACTAACATGTATTAAACTTATCAAATCATGTTGTCAATGGTTGTCACCGAATTGTATTGTAAAGATAAGAAGTACGTGGTGGACATTTGTCAGTATCAATCCATATTGTTGCCACAGTTGTAAGAGTAACCCAAGATTTTTGCGATTTCATGCGAAAAATAGCAGTATATTTTGGAGATATTCGAAATTATTTTTCAATTTGATAAAGTTAAATAAGTTTGAAATAGAAAGGCACATACATTTCAAAAATCAGCTTTAGACTAGTTTGGAAATGAGTTCAAAATGTCTAAAAGCATGGGAAAACTATAAATTTATGCAACTATGTCCACCAACCGTGGCTACCATTTTATACATCCAAGCGCCATATAAAATTATACAACCGTGCATTATATAATCTAATATGACAAAATAATACGAAACCGGAAAGTACGTGCCTGCTTTTCAACTGAACTGCCTACAACATAAATCTTTCTTCTTCTGTATGGCTTCTGTATGTAATAAAAAATCTGCAAAGACAATGAAAAGAAAAACTGGAACTTCATTTTATGGTTGTCAGATATTGGGGTTTCCAGATTCCCTAGCGGGCGCCTCTTCCCTAAGTTGCGGATAGCGGAATGCCTACCAGATACGGTTAGTAGTGGGGAACTTAAATACTCAGGACACTAATTTGTCCTTAAGATGACATCTCAAAAAGTAGAAGAATTAGACATGTTCAACGGCATATGGATGCAGAAGGCAAGGAGATACACTGCATTAAAGATTCATTTTGAATTTTCCAAAAAAGTAAAAATGACAAGACGAAGACATATTTTGTTCCCAAGTCCGTAGTAGTCTAAGGACTACTACGGACTCGATCTAAGGATCGACTAAAAATCTCTCTACGAAAGATAAACACCACTCAAAAGTGGAAAATCAAAACATGGAAAGCGAGCAGCTAACATGGAATTCTTGATTAAAGCAGTAAAGGCTCACAATCTTATCAAAGAGGTGGAGACAATGAACATAAAGACATAAACATTCTCGGTATGAGCAAAGTCAGATGACATGGAACAAGCCCAACAGATATTGATAACTAGCAGACAAGCTGGTCAAAGAGGCAGTTGGGAACCCGTTTATTGGACCCCAACCCGGCTACGGCTGTGTACTACAGAAAAGCCAGGTAATTAATACATGGGAGGACTCAAAAGTAGCTTTGTGCTGGAAAAAACTTCCAGGGCACAAACAGGCGAAGAGTATGATAACGCCGTCGCAAAATAAAACTTAAGAGATTTTATGCCTCAACAAAAGGGACCTAAGGTCGCTCTCAGATTTCCTGGCGGACCATATGCCTCTAAAATACCACCTCTTCAACATTGGACAAGCTGAGACTCAAACTTGTCGACTTTGCAACGACTAGTCAGAGACCGTTGAACATATTCTGTATGAAAGCATCGCCAGAGGTCGCCTAAAAGACAAAATTTTCAAAACCTTGGAGCTATGGAGCTACTGACTAAGGTTCATCAACGACTTAGATTCGCCCTACTCTTGAAACATATAAATTCATTCAAATCAATGCTCCTTCCATGGCAAAAAAATCTAAACATGCAATAAATCTTTTTTACAAGGATATCAAAAATTTCTAGAAAAATAAAGTTAACAATCAATAAACGCCATTTTAACGCAAAAATAAGTGTTAATAAGTCTATATAATCT